CCAAAGTTCTCTTGCTGCAGTTGGTAGAATACGGCTTTTCCAGATTCTTGTACTATAAATAACAATGATCTGTTGGTGAGTTTTCAAAGTCAGACCATCCATTACACATTCCCAGTCATAGTTGTTGAAACGCTTGCCGTTTTTTCTCCTCCACCCCTTTCATGTTGATTTTGCAGACGTTTATGCCCGAACAAACCCTTGAAACCAACATCGAGGAAGGAAAACCAAGCAATACGTGTGGAACAAACAATACATCGTGGAATCACTTAGTTTACCTTGTGTTTTCCGGAAGTGTTTCAACAAATTATGACCAGAATTGCAGTTTCACTTATTTTGAAAATTAGAGAAAAATAAAGTTAAAGACATTTAACCGGTCAATTTAATAATTGTCTAGCTAGTTTTTTGTTCTTTCAGTTCCTTTAACTCGTAGAAAAATTGCATAAACTAACAATGATGAGCTCAAAAAAGCATAAAAGCTGCGACTTATTAGGAGGGGCTTAGATCTGTGGCATGCTCTGGGTTATTTTTTCTTGAGTGAAATACTTTTAGAACTGGTTAGAGAAAGCAACAAAGAACAAACATCCAAAACAAATCATCAACTCCAAGCAAATGGAGAACGTTACCCTTTTCTCCGAAAGCGCAATAACAGCATGTTGTCCTGGACCTACGTTGATTCCCTCCCATTCATCAACGAATTCGCCCTGCTTGTGAATTATCACCTTGAATCCTTCTGAAAACTTCCCATAACTATATTCTTCTGTCTTTGTATCAAGAATGACAGAAAATCCAAACGAAACACCAGCACTGTTCACCCTCTTTATTTTGCCATTTTTCCCTGAGTTAAAGGTGTAGCACTTGCTCCATTGGGTTACCAAGAGAGCAAAATCTTTTGCTGAACAATTTGCAACAACATCAAACTCGCACTTGGGTCCAACGAGGGATTCTATCTCTTGACTGTAGTAACGATGTAAATTTTCTCTGTCGATATAATGAGCAGATTCTTGCATTGTATTCAACAGTTCTTCTCTATATTGACTCGTGCAGTTTGGTAGAGCGGGGCGTAAAGTTTCATATTCAGGCAAAACACAAAGTAGCGACCATCCACAAGGTTGATCACCTCGTACTTTTGAGGTCACAGCACATGAGCTAATATTTAACCCGCTGGAAACAAACAATGGGTTGTCATCTGTCATGTACAGCTTACTTGCAGCAAACTCGTTCAGAGGGCAGACTGTAACAGCTGGAAAATCCATTTCTTTAACATGTTTTCTGCTTACTACAGTGTTAATTGGTCGGTTGTAATATTTTTTGAACGCTGTGTAAACTGTAAAAATGTAGTATCCTCCAGAAGCAAGCAGTAACACCACCCAAATTAAGCTAATTAAAATATGACGCTTCTTAAAAACATATCTGACACCATGTAGTGTTGTGTTGTCGACGAACTCCTGCCACATTCCTGATGAGTCCTCCTATTCCCAGCTTTTATTCTCTGAATCAATTTAAGATTGGCATTTCAGTGCAGTGTCATTGGTTAGTTATCATAATTATCGTAATTATAAACTACACTAAATTACTGTGTACATCATTGCAACTGATTGTCATCCCCCTTTCAATGAAATAACTCGGTTTTTCAAAAAACGAATTTAGGTTGACTTGGAAGTCCTTCCCTAAGAAATATTCAAAACAAAATTCGTTCTTAAGAATCTATCCGCGACTAGTAAAAAAAATTCATGAAACTATTCAGTACCGAAAACGTTCGCCACTTATTAATACATTTATAGAATAATCATCGGGCCCCAGAACATTAAGCGTTAACTATATGCTAATTTGAATGCTGCACAAAGAGTAAGAAAACTTACGATATGGTTAGCGACGACAACGATTTATTTAGTGTACACATATTTTTCTTGGCTTTATTTAACATTTGCAGATATAGATATGAAATTTTAATTTCTGTTCGTATTCTCAACTTTGCTCGCCACGCGCAAATATTATTTTCATTGGCATTTTTGGGTAGATAATGACTTTACTTTATTAGTATTCTAATCGCATTTATTTCCCCAAATGATATAATTAAATAGGGAGATTTTATAGACCTTAATACCAAGACCTAGTTTTTAAAATAGGTAGTTGACGTTCTTTTTTTTATTTGAAATTCATATACTATAACATCATCACAAGTTGTGATAATACTTAGCTAAGGTGGCAGCTCCACTCAACGTATCAACCTGTGCGTGGGAATTCTGCTTAGTATTGCTGCCCAATCACTCTATTTCAGGGACTGTAACAGCCTCTCAACCTTTACTCAAACTCACTGTGGACCGTCTCAAAGTTTGGAACCGAACTGTAGTTCGAGTTGAATAGCCAAAAGGTTATAAATAACTGGCTAAACTAGATGAAAGAAAAATACAAGGTCGACTAAACCGTGAAGAAACTTGATGTGATAGCCAATATTCCCAAAGACATTATGACATATATCTTCTGCAGAAATATTTGTAAGACCTTGAAGAGGAAACAAGACATTTGTTTTAAAAATATTGGCAATCATATCAATTTTACTAACTGTGAAATCAGCCTCGCTTCTTTTTTGGGTCTTTTGGATACGAAGCTTGAACAGTGATGTTGATCATTGTATTATAAGCTTAGAAGGTAAAAGTCTCAGGCTCGCGATGGATTTGATAGACTACCATGATCGACTGTATCACTTACAGTTTGCAGTTTTCAGACCACAGGTTTCTCTGCGTAGTCACTGATTCACCGAGTGCCGGGCATCCACGGCCTCTGCTTGAACGGAATTTATATTTAGCTAACTCAGTGAAAACAAACAGTCAATTGAATAATGGTTGAAGTCACCTTTCCACTTTAGAGAAATGTTGATGTATTCAAGCCACCGTCTTAAGACTCCGTTGAAACTGAACCGATCTTTCTTATCCGAGATTATTTTTTATAACTGGTTTTAAGGCAAATAATTTCATCTAAGTTTTTTGCTTACCATATTTTGAGGTAAAATCGCTGCTTAACTGACCATTAATTATTTAAACTTTAAAGTTTGGGGTTTAGAATGGTTTGTACACCATGAGGTGCTATCGTGCTGGCTTCATCTATGGGTGAACATTTTTCTTTTGTTTTAGTCAGTGTTTGTCTCATCACCTGACAGATGATTTAAACTTCAAAAAGGTTTGTTATTTATGTTGAAAAAAAAAAGAAATTCAATCTCCGAAATTCAATGTCCGAGATACATGGTGATATTTCACGGCGAAGTCAGAAAGGAGCCATGATTGTTTAGATGGTTGTTATTTCGCCTGTTTAGCAATTTATTCTTCTGGTTGCAAATTTATGACTCTCCAAGAAGGTCTTGGTAGTCTTGTCTTCAGAGACATTCTTGGAAACAGGCTTGGAGGCAATTTGAAGATCAGCTTTGTTGTTGTTGTGTGTTATTGTATTATTACCTTAACTAATTAGAGGGACTTTTCTCAGAAAATTTTTTTATTTATTTTGTGCTCCAAATATAGTTTCCTTCTTTTTGATGTTTTTTGCTTTATTGTTAATCAAAATTCATCTTTGTTTATCCAGTAGAGGTAGTTTGCCGATGTGGTAAAGAACATATTGCTCAAGCTAAAGGTTGACAGAAATCCATGGAAAAATAATTGAAGAGTCGGTAAATACATACATACATACATACGTTTATTGAGACTCCCTTTACAGGGCTTTTCAGTCACAATAGGTTAGCTATTTAACAAGTAAGTAGACACAAGAAAGAATTATTAAACTAGTCAACTAATTTTTAGTACTAAAATGATGAACGTCATTTTAAGAAGTCTCGTCTTAAAAATTCGGCAATCTGCTACTTCCTTCATGTCTTTGGGTAGTTTGTTCAAACAAGTAGGCCCCTCTAAGGCGAAAGACCGCTGCCCAGTTTTTAATCTGCATCTCAGTAGATTCAGGTCTTTTTTGTATCGTGTATTTCTGTCGTGATGAGCTTGTCTACGTGTAAATTTTTGACTAAGTCTGGTGCTCGACCATTTAGGCCCTTATAGACCATAACAGAAACATTTAAAAGTAGTTTATCAGCAATAGGAAGCCATCTAAGTGACTTCGATTCCTCAGAGATGTGATCATACGTTCGGAGCCCAAGAACTATCCTGCCAGCAAAGTTCTGAACTAATTGCATTGTTTTTACGTTTGTTTTCGAGGTATTGCTCCATACGGTGGAACACTAAAACAATTTACTGAAAACAAAAGCATTAATTAGTAACAGTGACGTCTTTGAAAAGATGTGTCTTAAGCAAAGTTTTAGAAACAAAAACATTTTCCCCATTACGAATTTAATTTGGAAGGGCAAACTGTTCGACAGCTTTGCTATCGCAGGAAAAAAGGTGCAAGTCTAGACATGGGAACCCAAAGTCTGGTTTAGCCTCTTTCCAGTCTCTCCCGTGGGTCCAAATCAGCCACACATGTCTAAAAAACTGGACTGTATTGGCCCTTACGATAGTTACAGCTTATCCAAAAACTGAGTGCTGTATACTACTCGACCCATTTTGGGGGCTAACAGGTCATTTTTATTTAAAAATGTTTTACTCCGTGACGGTCAATACTTTGACAGGCATCAGACGGTGAAACAACCCTTTAGTGCTAAATAGTTGTTCATCAGGCCCCAGTTGTTCAAAAGGTGGATAGCGCTATAAATCTCTATTCAGTGGATAACACAACTGGTTTCCCTAATACTTATCCGCTGGATAGATATTTGAACAACCGGGGCTAGTTCTGTATGATTTTACTTTCTACCTTGGGAAATTATTTGGTCTAGTGACTGTACTTAAAATAAGAAGGTCGTGATTCGTACGAGTTTTTCTTTCATGACTACAAAGCTGGTCTTTTCAAAACAATCTATTTCCGAGCAAAAGCTATGCAAGGATCAAAAAGCCAGTTAGTGTGAATTGTTTCTTAATTCTGAAAAATTTTCTTTTCTCACAGAAACGTGTTTTGTTTAATGCCTTAAGTTAGGCAGGATGAGTTGAATTAAATAATTGGCGTCTTCGTGCTGCCAACAAACCGATAAAAAAGTCGAAAAATTCACAAACAGTCAGCAGGCTACAACCAAGGAATAATCCCATGTTGCCTCCAATCTCACCTGAAAAAGAAATAGTAATTTTGATAAATATTGCGGATATTATTTGACAGGTGGTGCAACTGGAAATGGAGATGAGTGGAGGATGAGATAACATTAGTTTAAGCTTGACTGCTAGGATAAATATGAAGAGTGGTTAGCTTTTTCCTTATGCTGAACTTCGAAAACAGATGAAAATGAAGATGGTTTTACCAAACAATGAATTGCTGTCATAAGCTGGTTGCTGTTCCTGCATCTCGTAACTCAATGACTTGAATCCCACTTGCAGAAACACGAGATTATCCCTGAAAAAAAAAAAACATTGTCTAATTCATGAGGTAAAAACTAAAGGCTATGACGCGAGCTGCGTTTATATAATTTCCCGCAAATTAAAAATGTCTCTAACCGGTCCTATACTGCTTGCGCGCACATTTCAGATGGATAACATTTGTCATCTTTGTTCATTACCTTTGGTACTGTATGTTAGGATAGTAACCAGTCGTCATAAGGGATTCTGCAGTGCCAGGATCTGGAAACTTCGAATACGACACCTCGGTAGTATACTTAGTCTGGGAGCAAGGAACTTGGCATCCGCAGAACTCCTCGTCTAACGCAGCTACATAGTCAAAGATAAAGGTTGGTCAATTCTACTGTGACGATACAATTCTCAATGCCAGTACATTTTGTTTAGAATATGTGCACTCAGCTATGAATGAGTCGAAAGGCTGGCAAATACTGGCTTATTGACGATTTTTTACATCTAACGAACGAGATTAACTTGCACGTTTTGAAAGAAGGAAAACACATGAGCTCCGGAAGACTCTGTTTCGAGGTCGAACTCAAGCATGAACTCTCGTATCCCTTTTTTAATCATTTTCTGGATCTTGCTTTTGCAAGTGTAAATGCAGTTTGGGCAAGCGCTGTTATTGCTTGTAAATAATGTTCAATAACATGACTTTCAATAGCTTACACAATCATTTACTTTTTTGTGCTTCTTAAAAAACAGTTTGAGTCTAACAATATCTTGAAACATTTCCCGCCTTTATATGTTCTCCTAATAAATGCCTACTCACCATCTACCTGTTGAACACAATTTAGTTCTGTTGTTGATCCACAAGTATGAGCTTGGGGAGCACCTTATAATAAGGACAATACACAACATAAACAACAGCTTTTTCAAGTAAAGAGTTTAGAAATGTGTAGAATTAAATAAAGATGTGTATGCATGTGATAGTGCAGCTTTGATTTATTTGGAAAGGTATAACAATGACTGAGGACCTGTCCACATTTTTTCGAAACAAACAAACAAACAAGATGAAGCAACACCAAAAAAAGAAAACTAAAGCAAAAACCAGCGTTGGTGGAAAAGTCCCTAAACAGTAGTCGGTTTGGGCTAAATGGGGACAGTTTTTATTGCAGTTTTATTGGTTGGCCAAACTCACAAGTTCAAAATCTTATTAGCTAGGTAAAGACGATCACCTGGTTTTTTAAAAAAGGGCCAAACGAGATGCGTGGAATTTTCTTACATCCAGTACATAATGGGTGTGACTTGGGGGTCAGTTTACCGAAAGGGCTATGGAAATTTGATTAAAAAAGAGGTTTTTCGTAGAAAGTGGGAAAGCAAAGCCATCAGCTACGAAGGACCTGATTTGCAAATTATTTGGAATCCAGGGCAAAATAATGATATCATTATACCTCTGTATCCGGCAGGTCTACACCCGCACCTTTTGATCGTGTTTTCAGCTCCACACTCAAACATGCATCCTTCAGATGTATACGTTTTGAACGTTTTTAATGTTCTCGTGCTGCAGTTAGTATGATATGGCTTCTCCAAGTTCTTAAACTGAAAAAATGTGTTGTGTTAATAAGGTTTACAAAATGGATTTGGAGGAGATCTGTTTTTTCTTGCGTCCGCGAAGTTGTGTTTTTCTTTTAATGGGAATAGTGAAGACATGGATCGTTTTTCAAGGAAAATACTGTTGAGCAGGGCTAAGTATTAAAATGAACAATTGGACTTTCATAGCATTTAATTTCTTGATGAATTGATCAAGGTTTAACATGGGAACCCATCACGTTGCTTGCCTGATCAAGCCAATCGTTTCTTCTTGCCTTCTCTATTCAGCTCAAGTGTTTCAATGGGCACAGAGGAACCTCGATATAACAAACCTCTATATAACGAAGTCGTCGGTATAACGAACTTTTATTGATAAAACGAAACCTCCGTATAGCGAACATATTTTGCCAGTCCCTTGGCCCTTCGTTTTATCGAGGTTCCACTGTACAGGGGACATGTTGTTGTTGGTGACCCTGTGATGAATTAACGTCCCCTCCCACCCCCTCCTGTCACTCATGCTACTGAAACCAGGATCAGCTTCGGGTCGTTCATTCTATTTTTTCTTCAGGACTAATACGGGCAGTCACCAGCATTTTTTGGTCTGCAGTTTACTAATTCACGTTAAAACGGCATAAGATCATTGAACAAAAAAAAAAAAAAAAAAGGGTGACTGTTTACAGTAAAAACAAAAAGTGCCCGAACACGAATGTAGACATTCCCGAGAATTAATCACCCATGGGTAAGAGTCCAGGATGTTGTGGCCATTTACAGTTTATCTGACTCTTAAAACACACGTTCAATAAAAATATATCATCACAATGGATTACTCAGTATTTTACCCTTTTCTCTGAGAGAGCTATCACAACATGCTGTCCTGGTCCTACGTTGATTCCTTCCCATTGATCAACGTACTCGCCCTGCCCATGAATCAACACCTTGAATCCCTCTGAGAACTTTCCTTGAGTATATTCGCCTACATTTGCGTCGAGAATAAAAGCCAACCCCGATGAAACTCCGCCAGCGTCCACTTTTCTATTTGGTTTGCCATCAACTCCTGAATTGAAGGTGTAGCACATTCCCCAATCCGTTACCATGGGAACAAAGTCGTTCAATGTGCAAGGTGTGTTTTGCCAACCAAAGTTACAGCGTGGTCCGGCGAGAGAACTTAAGTTTTGGCTATAGTGCATATACAAGACCTCAAGGTCCGGACGATGAGAACTGTTCTGAATAACATTTAAAAGATCTTGTCTATACTCCTGCGTACAGTTGGGGATAACTAATGCGTCGTTTATATCCTCGGTAAAAACACAACAGCAAATTAGAGACAATCCACAGGGACGATTGCCTCGCACACTTGCTGTCACAGCGCATGAGCTGATGTTTAATCCGCTGGATGCAAAAAGTGGGTTGTCATCAGTCATCAAAACTTTTCTCTTTTCAAAAAGATTAAGAGAGCAGATTGTCACCGCAGGGAAGTCCATTTCTTTAACAATTTTTCTGCTTATTACGGTGTTAATTGGACGATCGAAGAATTTATTGAACGCTCTGTAAACTGTAAAAATGTAATATCCTCCAGAGGTCAGCAGTAACACAAGCCAGATTAAGCGCACGAGAATGTGACGTTTCATGAACACGTAGCGGATACCATGCAGTGTTGTGTTATCAACAAACTCCCGCCACATCTCTGCTGAAGACTTACTTCCTTTCCAGACGTTATTCTGGGAAATATCACCCTCTGATAGTTTTGACATTGCTATCTCGTTCATCTTCTCTGGTATTGGCAGTTTCTATTGGCCTTGCATCAACAATGTGGTTATTTATTTTCTGTCGTGAGGTAATAAATTGTATTAGAGAGCCAAAACCACTTGTTGTGACACCCAATAATTCTACCACCTTACCATGTCCCGAGTAGGTTCGTTACATTCAAGTTTAGTTTCACAGGGGTTCGGAGGATCTCCCGCCGCTCCTGGGTAGGGCTCGAACATATGGCACAGCAAATTAGCTTATTTTTTAGGGCTCCTTGAGTATTATGTAAATGCCCCACGCTGCGCTTACTGTGATGTTGACATTCTGAGATTACAAATTTGAAAGTAAACTGTAATTTTAAAGTTACCAGTGAAAATATTAAAAGAAATTCAACAAGGAATTCGAAATGAAATTGGCCATAATCTGAAGATTTTCGTTGTTTTAAATATTCTAATCAAGATAGCCAACGAACTGAAAATACAAGGAAAGATTATTAGCGTATATGAATAACGCAAAAACATAATTAGAAAATTAAAACTTCTGATCGAACAAAGCATTAGTGTTTGAAATTTATTATAAACGCTACCAGCAATATATTCTCGACGAAAAAAGATTCAAAAAATGAGACTTCACTTTTATGTATTCTAAGGACGGTCCTTCCAAGGGCAACATGACGTGAAATCGCCGCTGAACATTATCAACATCTACGTATGTTGTCAAGGCTACAAGGTTTGCCGGGTAAAAATGTTTTCGGCGGCGATAAGAACTGATTTTATCTTAATTCAGGAAGAATTTTGCTTTGGTGAGAGTATGATATAGATGAGATAGTCAACTGTGATTCCGTTGTTCTGGAAATGTCTTTGGAAACATCTTAATACGACGTCAATGTCATTATCTCAAAAAGCAAACATTACTTTTCCAGTAGTAATTAGAAAATTGTTCGTTGCAGGTACTTTAATCTCATCAACTTTAGAAATTTCAGCCGATTTTTAAGAAAATCAAATAACGTTTATAGTGCGGGCCATTTTAAATCTGTCAGTTGAACGCTGATTAAAGTCAGTTTTGATAGTAGAGTTCTCAATCGTCAGGTATTTAAATTCGTATTTTAAAATCATGATCCAGGAGCTGTCCACATGGGATAATTTATTTATCAATGAATCATGCAGTGTTTAACAATGTACTCTCAAGACAAGACGATAGCATTGAAGAAACTGAAAAAATCACATTTTGTATAAATACATGTATACACGCAAAGGATTATGCATATTGAAGGCATCAGTGTTCTGTCGCTTGCCGGACCACGAATGAGTGATTTAAGTCACGTAAATGTTTGAAATATTAAGATAAACCTCAAACCATGTCGATCAGTTAACCCAATATATCGGGCTCGGAGGCGATTAAAAAACTTCCTAATGCGGTAGAGATAATATAAACTTATCACTAAGAATTGATTTGAAATTACCAGATTTATATAAAATACAACGTACAGATACTCACATTTGATTATCCAAAAACCACCATCATTGAAGACCCGTCAGGCATGAAGGTGGAATTCGTTGAATCAATTTTTGAGTCGTAGAAACTTAGCGGAATAAGTTTGTCAGTTTTTTCAATGAAATGATGACTTTCAAATGTGCTGTAGCTTATATTACCGCAGTCAGTACATTTCGTTAACATAAACAAGTGACGTACACAGCGAAACAATAAACTATTCATCTTCTTGTTAATGAGGCACGATAAACAATAGGGACTGAGATGCGATGGGAAAATATTAAGACTTTTATATTTTATTTAAAATCTTTGGCAGTAGAAGTCTAGACTAAAGAAAGTTCTTAGTTTTACTGCACCAGGGGCTGGTTAATAAATTAGTTTCAATTCGACGTTAATTTTTTCTGTGCAGTTTTCCGATTGGCTGAACGCAAGTGATCTTTTTATAGCAAATCAACATAGCGCGCGAGCACATCTTTTAACTCTAATCCATGCTTTATTTTAGTGTTAAACATAGACTGCAAACGAAGGTTAACTCAGAATTGTTATAATGGAGATTCACTGTGGTTACAAGATTATACTTCATTTTACAAACGGTGGGACATCGGCTACATTTCATCCCTGGTCCGCATCCATTTTCAACGCACTCTAAGATTATGAAAAATTTAACTTGTTATTGACCGTTACTCGACGTTTCCATGTTTCAAACATCACCAGTTCTCAAGAGTGAGAAATGTTAGTTCAACGTTGTTTAAAGAGTTGAATTTTGAACAAATTAGATTGTGAACTTACCATTTCTCACCCTTGAGAATGATGTTTGAAATATCGAAAAGTCGAGTAACGTTTTAAGTTTAATTTTTCTTCTTAAATGCTTTAACAAGCAACTGACTTTCGGGTCACTTAAATATGATCTTACTTTAAAAATCACTCGACGAGTTTAATTCATTGTTACTTATTTGTTTGTTATCCCATGAAAAATCAGGCAAGAATAGTGTTTGCTTATTGTCCATTTAGATCTATGCATACTATAACGAAACTGATTTTGCTAAGGTAACGTACACAAACAAACATAGGGCCTCTATCCAATCAAGCTTATGTAAATTATGTAATATCAGTAAGCGTCGATTTTCGTAATAAACTTTTTATCGCACGCACAACAAAAGTTGTGCGCAATCAACAAAGCTTAGTATATTTTGACAGGCACTAGTTATGCTTGCAATTTTCTTCTATGAACTGCTTGTAAGCAAAAATTACTTTCAACAGTAAAATAAGCACAGAAAAATATAAAACGGCATTATAGTAGTTAGGACATTTTTGCCGTTCGCTATTCGCTTTAAACGAGGTGCTTAATTTCTTTAATAATGAATGATTTTACTGACCTATGTATTTTAACCATTGCTTCGTTTACAAAATGATCGTCTACTAGCATCCGGTATAGTATCCTTGAAAATTCTACATTTGAAACCGCGTGATTACTAGAAAACCAAACTCTCTCTTGTGTTGCGAAATAACTCAAAACAGTACAAGAGGCAGCACGAAAAATCTCGGAGGGTCTGGGTTACACTTAGCGTACACTTATGGAAACGTTACACAGTTTTAAATGTTTATAAGCATTTACATAGTAAGTAACTCGTAATTTTAAACAAAATATTATGCGTAATCATACCAAACATTATTTATAGTCTCTTCTTGCCAAGATCTTGACTTAATCATGAACGTAACCCATGCATGACAGTTATTTTCTAAATATATTTTCTTTCTACCGTTTGGAATATTTGCGTCAAACGTGGCTTATAGGCAAAAAAATAAATGTAAGATAGGAATATATGGTCAATCACAAAATAAAAGCCATCGCGATCGAGGTGCTTGTACTGTCCGCAGATGAAGTCTGGTATAGCTTTCGTTGTTTGAAACGTAATTTTGCTTCTGTGCTTGAAAATACATATGCATTTAAAATTGCATCAGTCGGCTTAACTGAAGCTTCAGCACCAGTGTGACGTCATTGCATATGTAAAACTTGACGACCCCTTCTCGTTGCAATTCTGATGATGACGTCAATGAACTCGAAGATGGTAAGTAAACTGCATCCCAAGAATAAACCCATGTTACCTCCGATCTCACCTAAAAACATACAGGAAGCTGAATTATATGAAACAACGAAATTCAGACTTTATTTCTTTTGAAGAATAATCATGGAGGAAAAAGCATCACTTTACTCTGTTAAATAGTTAAGAAATAGGTGGAACATTTTACCGAACAATGAAATGCTGTCATAAGCTGGTTGCTGTTCCTGCATCTCAAAGCTCAATGATTTGAATCCAACTTCAACAAGTACAAGGTTATCACTGAAAAATATGCAGGCATTGTAAAAAAAAAAATGATAATCAGCATATAATTAACATTGCATGTGAGGTCAGGCGCGTTTGAAATATAATATATACTTAATGTCAGATCCCGAGGGAAACAGTTAGTTTTGTTTTCCCGAGAGTCCTGATGTTTCCGAGACGAAGTCGAGGCAAACATCAGGACTCGAGGGAAAACAAAACTAACTGGTTTCCCGAGGGACCTGGCATTAAGTGTTTTGTTATATTTCTAGACTTTCACTTCAAGGTACTTCAACAACAACAAAAGAATACGAAACTGAATGAATAAAACCACTGAATGAATGATTTACAAAGTACTTTCCTTACACTATCTGCATCATTTTCCTCCATTAAATGCTGTTTCTCTTCTGGCATAACTTGAAAATCGTTGCTTTTTAGCTTGAGGCTTCATGTTTGTGTTGTTGTGTTTATTCACGAAAAAGAAAACTGGCAGAGTTTTTCCCGCCTTCTTTCACGCCACTTTCCACCACGCATGTATCCCGAGTGGGGTACATTGCTTAATGTATCACGATCGGGATACATTTGATTTTAGTCAAGGCCACGTGACCAAGAATCAGCCAATGGCTGTCCCTGTTTAGTTGAGTGAAAGTCTAGGAATATAACAATCTTATTTAAATGAATGTATTATTTTCTCCATTCCATCAGACAATAACATAAATGTTTTTGTGGATAACAGAAACTTGCGATCGAGAAGTGAGATCAAGGCCAACTAACTGAAGAGAGGTCTTTTAGCTTTACACAAGTTACCAAGAGATTTAGAGTAACGTTTACGGCAAACGGGAAACGTGAATTTGTACTACATGACTAAGTTTTTTCTTAACTTGTTCTTTATACTGTTCATTATATTACTTCTACCAAAAAAGTAGCAGCTTCAAGTTACTTTTGTCTGTACGGTTTTGGACTGTCTTTGTCTGCACGTTTTCTATTTTGAGAATTTCTCAATTTGAATCTGACGTTTGCCGTATATGTCACAATCTATCTGATGTCATCGTATAAGAGTTCATTCGCTTGTGCGACACCTCTTACTGGTGTTAACTATTCTCTGAGACACAATTTGAAGCAGTGTGCAACCTTCTAGTGTGCAAAACTTCACATTTATGGAACTTCAATAGCGATTGCTAGCAATTTAGGCCCAATAAGTTTTGTCAGTGTCCGAGAAATAGCACGTGAAGGTTTGTTATTCGCCCTGATGGCGCAAGTACTAATTACCTTAGATATTCTGCTTCACCATAGTAATCAGTGAGAACCTGGGCGGTCCCGGGATCTGGAAACTTTGAGTGCGATACTTCCGCGCTGTATTTTATCTGATAACAAGGAACTGTGCATCCACAAGACTCCACATCCACATGTGCTAAATTGAAATATTGTATTCACTTCAAAATCAGCTACTTATGTTGTGAGCCTTACTAACTGTTCCCAAGTAAAGCCGGTCTACACAGTGTAAACTCTTGTTATAAGACGGGTTCAAATTAACCTTGAGCTGCTGATAGATGCCCTCTTGCAGCAATTATTTCTTTCACGAGTTTTTAAAATAAAACAACAAAAACAACCAATAATTAGGACTAGAAATACCTTATCGCAAAAATCTCGCGAAGCTAAAAAGGGTCAGCAATGAGAATCAACAGCAACAAGCCAAAGGGTAAAAACACGATGGAGAAAAAAAAATGGAAGTAGCCCCGCCCGGATTGGAACCTGCACCCCAACCTCCTCCGCCGAAAAAAAGTGAGGCTTCATACCACTGGGCCATGCGACCACTGCGCCGAGCGCACTGGTCTTCTTTTTCACTGCTCTCGCTAAAGTTCAGGTCACCGTTCTTTCGGTGTTAAATCTTCCACGGCAAGGATTCGCCAACGTATAGTAAACAGAGGATGAATAAAATGAGCCCAAGTCGGTAGCCGTGTTGCCTGGAAACCCAAAATGCACGATGACGCCATGCTGAATGGCGTCTTTAGGATTTGTTTATGGCTTGTTGCTAGGCAACTGCGGATACTAAACCGATATGACCAAAGCGAAATCGCAGTCCGCTTGCGATCCTCGTGTGATCCGCGCGCTGCGCGCGCTACAAAATTATAAACTCGCTTCGCGGGAATAATTCTCAAGGCTAAGCTTAGCATGCCATGGATTTGTTTAAGATGCCATTCGCGAGGAAAACGCTAGTTACTTCACTGTCAGCAGCACAAGTTGTCTACATATAACAAATCTACAGTCCCTAATAGATAGTCTCCCGCCAACACCAGTGTGGATGCTGGTGAGTTACAGATGGAAAATGAAAGTTGTTTCAGCTTTTTGTATGCTTCTGTTATCATTTAAACCAAGCTTCGTTTCTTCCAAAACGTTCTTACCTGAGTATTCTGTTTCACAGTTAAGTTCGTCTTGTGTCGTGCAAGTTTTAATCCCAGGGGAACCTCAAAGGAAACGAGAAAAACATAATTTTTCAGTGTGACATGTCTTATTCAAAAATACGGTTAAACTTTTAAATGGAACGGTTTGATCGCTTACCGATGGAAAATGCTATGCACTGCATAATTTCAAAAATAGCTGGTACCTTTGTATCCAGTTGGTCTACAACTGCACATCGTTAGGATCTTTTCATTCTCGCACTCATGCATGCAGCCTTCTATTGTATATTGGGTGAATGTTTTCAATCTTCTATTAGAGCAATTAGTGGCGTATGGTTTTTCCAGGTTCTTAAACTGAAAAACAGTAACACGTAAAGTCATAGATCGATGGTCTGTGAAGCAAGTGGGCTTGGTAAGAAGATACATGAAAGGAATTTAGTGCTTTACGTAAACGGCTTTCATAAACCGCTGCATAACTGAAAAGCAAAATTTAAAAATGAAATGGAAATTCGCTTAGCGCGCTTCTTACTTTCAGTCTATGAACTGACGTATTTTTTCAGCAAGAAAAACTTGTCGTTTACGGATGGTAATCTACAAACATTGCACCACTACATTGCAGTAGAAAAGCACGAAGTAATAATAATAATAATAATAATAATTTATGAACTTATTGTGCGCAGCTTAACATGAGAATGTCAGCTGCGCATTACAACTGCATTACTTTAAAAGAAACAAATAAAAGATGATGCATTAAAAAATAAAAAATAAAAGGAATATATATGCATGCAAGTAAGAACAGAATATAAAATTGCTCACCAATATAAAGTTTTAGAAAGATAAGTCTTAATATGCGCCTTAAAACTGTTCAAATTAGTAATCGCACGAAGTTCTTTTGGAAGAGAGTTCCAGAGCCTTGGCGCTGCTACCATAAAAGCTCTATCACCTAACGTCTTCGATCGAGCAGCTGGCATAGAAAGTAAAATACTATCTGAAGATCTAAGGTTATATGAGGACGATTTAAATGTTAGTAAATCGCATGGATATTTAGGAGCAAGGCGGTGAATTGCTTTGAACGTAATAAGAAGTATCTTAAATTCTATCCGAGCTTTAACAGGAAGCCAATGCAGACCACGAAGAAGGGGTGAGATGTGGCAAAACCTAGGGGCATTACAAACTAGCCTGGCTGAGGCATTCAAAACTCTCGACAATTTGTTAAGCTGGTAGTTGGGCAGCCCATACAAAAGACTGTTACAATAATCAACAAGAGATGTAATAAATGCATGGACAAGCATTTCCGTTGATTCTCGAGACAAATACTTGCGAATGCGTTTGATATTATGCAAATGGTAAAAGGCAACACCACATAACTTGCTAATATGAGTTGACATAGTGAGCTGCTCATCAAACTATGAGCCTAGGTTTCTAGCTACTGTTACAGGACGAACATCAGTCGACCCAACCCTAATGCAATTGATGTTAACCTTGGCCAGCTGCTGCCTAGTACCTATAATTAAAAATTCTGTTTTATCATCGTTTAACATAAGATTATCTGAAATCATCCAACTCCTAATGTCACTGATAGTGACATGTCACTGAAGTGCCTCGAAACTAATCAAAGTGTGCTGAGGGAAGGTGGGGGAAATTTTAACATCCCTGGAGTGGATTCACAGAGTCACCAATTTGGCTGATTAAGCTGCGAACACATGAAGAACTAATGGCGGGTTACCTTTGGATTTTTAGACGATTTTAACTTGTGTCAACCTCACTAGCGTAGAGGGTGATTTCAGATGAGCTACAGAAAGTAACATTGCAAACTAAACACGTGAAATGGTCTCTGTGTTAACACAGTAAAATGAGCCCCTCATGTAGTGTAAAAACCCTACCCTCTTTTCTGATAAGGCTATGCCAACATGTTGTCCTGGTCCAACGTTGATTCCTTCCCATTCATCGATATACTCGCCTTGTCCATGAACGAGAACCTTGAATCCCACCGACAACTTTCCCCAAAAATACTCATGTGTCTGTGCATCAAGAAGGATTCTCAATCCTGATGACAGTCCACCATAGTCCACCGTTTTTATCTCAGTACCAGTATCCGCCGAGTTGAAGGTATAACACATTCCCCAAGCTGTCACTCGAGGAGAAAATTCAGTTGCTGAGCATGGTGATTCTTCCCAGCCAAACGTGCAAATAGGTCCTAAAAGATCCGTAATATTTTGCGAGTAGTAACGATAAAAGGATTCAACATCTGGATGATGACGAGCACGATTCATTGTATTCCAGATGTCTTGCTTGTATTGATTAGTACAGTTTGGTATAAGGGAGATGTAATGCGAATATTCAGATGGAGTGCAACAACAAAGCATAGCCAACCCACAGGGACGATCACCTCGAACTTCTGCAGTTACAGCGCATGAGCTGATGTTTAAGCCGGTGGATGTAAAAAGTGGATCGTCATCTCTCATGAACAATTTGCTTTTAGCGAACAAGTTAAGAGAGCATATTGTAATGGCAGGAAAAACCATTTTGTTGAGTCTTGTTGTATTTATAACGGTGGTAATTGGACGGCTGTAAAATTTATCAAAAGCACTGTATACTAGGAATAAATAGTAACCACCTGAGGCCAGCAGTAACACAAACCAAATTAAGCGTATGGCAAAATGACGTTTCATAAACATATAACGGATTCCATGCAGTGTTGTGTCCTCCGTAAATTCTCTCCACATCTCCAATGATTTCCTCTTGTCACCGTTATTATAATTCTGAACAGTATGTCTTGGAATTTCCTGGGAAAACGTTTCCTCCGGAATTTCAGTCATCCATCCATCTCTTTTAACCTCCATATTGGCTGTGCTTGGTTCCTGCTTGATTTTGCTGATGTAAAAATTGTAAAATGACCGCAAATTTAGTTGCTTTTTTCGTAACGTGCCGCTAGCTTTCTTCTTAGGCAACTCAACGCATAAAGGTAGAGAGATTTACTGCTGGTGAAGAGAAAAAGGGGGAGCAGGGGTTGGCGCCGGCAGAAGTTGAGAAAACTTCAACCTCCCCTCTCAGCCTCCCTTGCCTGAGATCCTCAAAACCATAAAATCTTCTTGCCTGATAATTACGTGAAGTCTCGAAGAAAATTTGGAATGGGTTACATTTCTTATTTAAACAAAAGGTCATTCAAGTCAATTTAGAGTACAAAAAACTAAAAATGAAAAAGAATTAAGAAGACGAAATTTTAGTTCATCAAACGACAATACTCTTGATTTATCTTAAGCTTTCGTGGCTTTCAGTCCCTGGTACAAGAAGGAGCGCTGCAAATTTGATACTTTTGCAATTATTAATGAACTTACCGAAAAAACGGCGCAACTGCAATCTCAGGAAATAAACATTTCAAGTTCTGATAGGTTCCTTGAAAAAGTCAAATTGTTTGCTTGTGAGTGACATAAATAATGATAAAAAAATATTCATTACATGTTAAGAATCTTACCTCTTTAGATGAGACTGATGAGACATCAATTTCACTTCATTATACAAGGATCTACAAGGCTTGAAAGACTCAGTATGATAACGAATTTTAATGAATGTGACAATTTTCCAGCATTTGCTCTCATTATCGCCGAAGGCTTAGCCACCGCACTAATAGATAATAAACGTTTATATTTCCGCACAGTTTTAGTTTCTTTTTGTGTAATGAAAACTAATATTTTCTAATTTCTTGTATGTCTTAAAATGGACTTCTAGATATCAATTAACGGGGTAGAAATCTCGCATACATGTGCAAATAATTAAAATTATTTGATTTATTTGATGTGTTTATATACAGTCATAGAGTATATCTTCCATTTATAAACTGTATTGCATTGCTAATTGCTGTATAAATCGAATTCCTGATTGACGAATTTCATAATTTCATCTTTACGTTCACCACCTAACTAAACTGAAAGATAACTGTTTACTTGAATATACAACATTTGAGCGGTTCGACTTTTGCAACGCGTCAGGAAAATGTTAGATAAAATATTAAATAATAATTGAAATTACAAGAAACCCCTGAGTTTCCATTTTCTCTATTATGTTATCCGGGTTATTTTGGAATACTGTCAGTTATTATACTTATATAATCGATTTAGGGACTTACGATGGTTTCGCGATTGATTTGCAAACAACAGTGCTTGAATTTATAGGAACTAAACGTGATGTTCCGCTTATACCGCTACTATCAAAATTCTTATTTTCGGTTTTATAAGGTAGCTATACGTACCTACTTGTCTATAGGTAGGGCAATTAATCGACAAACTTTTTTTATCCTCCGCAGTTTTCTTTATACTTGGTTTAGGTAAATAACTAATCCGATCTAGGGATGTCAGTCACTGATCTCCTAACTTTTACCGTTGATTAGCAATTAGAAGGAAACTGTTGTTAACCCATAATTAAACTGCTGGAGAAAAATGATTAAGATCAGAAAATGGAAATTTGTATTCATCTGTTGGTAAATACATAGAAATAAAAATTAAATTGTGAAGCAGTAAATGGGTTTCAGTTTGACTTTTTTCAGTTTAAATTTTCTGACTTCAGGAAGTTATTAATGAGGTTCAACAACGAACCACAATACTTCCAATTCAGCATGTAGACTGAATTTTTATCAGTAAAATCAGAGGTGCCAATGTCATACTTACATTTACAGCTGTTCTCCCGTGAACTATTGCTCTACAGGTCAGTGAATTGTTATTCAATTTTTTGTTATAAGTGTTGGCTAAAAAAAAAATCAAAATTGCTTGTTCGTGGATAAACCTACCTCACCTATGCTTTTATTTAAATAAGAGCCGTCCAAGGTAAAAATTTTTTCAAGCGAACCATGTATCTTTGGCAACATCAGAGGCCCCACTATTGTAGAATAACAATTAACTTTCTTTTGTTTTACGGCCACGGTCAACTCATTATGACTTAAAACACTATTTTGGGAAGTTCAAGTAAACGTCGACTCGTCCGGTTGGATTGGGACACTCCATTTTTTTTTTATTATCCTATGGAGTTGTTGTTGTCGGCAACATTGAAGACTGCATATGAGCGGACCAAATTTCAGCCCACCTACTTTTTATTCGCTCCGCCGCCGCTGATTTACGTATAAATCCAAAATAATAATTAGTTTGTGAAGTTAGTGCAATCACTATTATTTAACTAACGACATTTCATGATATACTATCATTTGTGATAGCTTGCCTATGATGCCCTATATGTAATGCTTGTAGGAATCATGAATAATATTTCTTTCCACTTATAGCATAATTTCCTCTGTGTAGTCGAATATCTAGCTAGGCCTTCGGGTAATTCTGGTTTACAGCTATCTCTCAACGCATGTTTCCTCAGCTGGCTTCTTATAATAGAGAAACATTGCGAATTTTAATAATCAATAATCTGCTTACTTTAATGCTACTGATAATCGAATTGTCCTTGCACAAAAATAGTTTCAAAACGTTTAACTATAACAAAGTTTAGACTTTAAGCTTGAAGAACGATTAATTTCTACTCTATGTCTTAAGTATGAATTTTAAATAATAGCGGCCGAAAATGGTGGCCATTTGAATTATGTCACAGATCCCGCCCTCATACGGCTCATTTTAGCGTATCTAAGAAGGCCGTTTACAGTGCCGCTTCATCTTTTCAGAATATTGTAATGCAGGAAAATCCCAGGGGTTTTCAACCGACTTCCCCGGGACCTTTCACAGTGGTGGGGTATGAATTAGTTTGAACGTTCGAGGGCTAAAATAGTGCCTGATTGAAATAATCATAATAAAAAAAAAACACGATGATAAAAATTACGAACCACGACCAATGCGGGACGCGTTGATGCACTGTTATCTTCTATTTAAAGGCGCCGTACAGATGTCATAATTAATGGCCTACCTTTCTACAACCAGTTGCAAAAGTACTTGAGACGCTGTACCGTATTTTGGCATAAGTGGCCTGTCCATGATCTTGTGCTTGTGATCACCCCTCCACCCCTTATCAAAGTTGCTAGCAATACAAGACCATACTCAAAACTTGGAGGAACAACTTTGAATGGGAGGGAGGAGGGAGGTCAGTATTATATCTTACAGACCTGTGACCAGGAGCGATTTGAAGCAAGAAAGGTCGTTTTTCCGTGGGAGTGTCTCAACATTTTTACAACTGGTTGTAGCGATGTTTAATAATAGTAAAAAAAAAAAAACAAAACGATAGAAATGATGACATCTTATTATATGGCTACAATAATACGCGCACTCTGATGGGCTGCTTTCTTGTAATGACTGAACATTACCAGCTACGTATGAAACACATATACAATCTGTGTTTAACTTGATAGTGGACATCCTTATGGACATCCATGCTATGGTCAATTGACAGCTGTCAAAAAGGTATCCGCTGACCAGTGTCGCCTTACTGTATTGCGGCCTCAACTGTACAACTCATTGAGGTGACCAGGTTTTTTTTAAAGTTATCCGTTGACCAGCTGTTGGTTTTAATTAATCGCAGGCTCAGTTACGCTATTACCGTAACTGTGACTATTCTTAAATCGTAACTACCCATGCTGATTTTGATTAGGGATTGTTTAATTTGTAAAGCTGAAATTAATGAAAAAACCGACAGCCTAGCGAACAACATGCACTTCAAGCTTGTCATTACAGAACCTGCCTCGTTATGATATACGTTTCAAATAAGCTAGACAATTCTCACTTTAACTTAATTCTACACAGGCTGCCAACCACAAAACTTTACTTTACATTAAAATCGATAAATCACAAGTACAGACTACCTGCAAATATCGAAGCTAATCGAGGCAGGTATGTACATACTATGGAGACGTATCACTTACACAAATAAATTACAATATTACTACAAAGAAAGTTGCATGATAATAAATATGGTATTACAGATTAAATACAATAATTACTATAAGTATTATTTTGTCATAAATAAGAGGCTAGAGGAAGGATAAAAAGACGTAGGATTACTGGCTTATGAAGTCACAAGCATTTAAAAGATAAATTTTAAATTCTCTTCATTTCATTCAATAACATATCTATATCAACATAACTGTCAAAGTTTAAGGAAGATCTGTTTGGTTGAAGCAAAAATTAATGTTTAATTTACAGATTACCAACTGGAGAGGCACTAAAACCACGTTTTCAAAGGAATCACGGCAGGTGAAAGTGGAAGAGAAAAAATACATTATTGGCTAAAGTAACTTGCACGATATCGTGCTACAGAACCGGAACAGTACTTTTTTTTTAAATAAAAAAGTCCTCTTTTTCTGTGCAATCAAAAAAGTTTGAATAAAAGCGCAAAAGTAGACATGTACTTTTTTTTATTACCTTTCCAGCTTAAGGGGAACTTTCGCTTTAGAAGCCAAAGCAGTTATCTCAGAAACATCCCCTTTATTATTTGCTTATACTTCAAAAGGACATGAGTTTTCGGCAAAGTAAAATTGATAAGTAACATAATTATTATTCCATTTTTCATTATTTATATACCACAATATTTAAGCGTTACATCGGCTGTTTACGATCACCTGCTTCTTGTTTGGCCCCCTTACTGAAAATACAGCATTTATTATACATGTGGCTATAGAACTGACGAGCGGGAAAATTGTTTTGACACATCGAGCTGACACAGTAAGCTACAGTGCGACAAGAGAGTTCCTTTCTTATTTTCCTCACGAGAGAACTACAAAGAGCCTGAACGGGAAACGGCCAACTTGGTCTTTGATCGAAAAGCCTTGCCGTCGATTTTGTGGCCTGGCAGCCATTCATAGTACAGCGTACCATAAAAAACAGGTTATGAGTGCATATGTGAGTCTTATTAGTTAATACTACTTAAGGCCGACAGTACATGCAACATCAGGCTTACCAAGGACTTTAATTTTAACGTGTACCATAGTGTATTATTGTATTTTGTAACGGAATTGTAAAAATGAATAAACATGTCTGTGGAGAATTAAATTTAATTGGCCAAACAACTGACGTCGACTGTTTAAAGTGCGAAAGGGCTTGTTACATTTAATTTTGTGTTGTTGCTGCGAAAAATAAAGTTAAATAAAGAAGTAACAACAGGAGCAACACTAGTAGGCAAAAACATTTTGTCGATAAGACAATAAAGAGTCGAGAGAATTGGTAACTTCTAAGGAGGAATTTCTTTTCTCTTTTAAAGATGTAGCAATCAAAAGCCAGTTACCCGTCGGTAAATATTAGTTGAAAATCTTTGGAATGCTTTTCTTGGAACTCTTGTTTTGATAGTTAACTATGTGTAACTGTTTAACATTGTGTTTAACTCGTATAATTTGCAGAAGGGCGCGTTCCCACTGAATTTATTCGTCACTGATTGTATGTAGGAGATGATGATGATCGAAAAGAAAACATCACCTGAATGTTGGACTACAGAGAGTGAGAGTCAAGGGGAAAATTTACCCAAAAAGCAAAAGCCCTCAACAGAGACTTGGGAAGAATTTACTGATAACACAACACTTCATGGTCTTAAGTATGTCTTCAAGAAACGCCATTTCGCGATTCGTTTGTTTTGGGTTTTGCTCCTTCTTGTCGCACTCACTTACTACGTTATAATAGTTTACAGGGCATTTAGTAAATACTACAGCTATCCCATTAACACTTTGGTGTTAACAAAGCAAGATCTTAAAGAAATGGATTTCCCAGCCATAACAATCTGCTCTCACAACTACCTCGCTAAGAGCAAACTGTTTATGAGAGATGACAACCCCCTATTTGCGGCCAGCGGTTTGAATATCACCTTGTGTGACATCACGAAAAAGGTTCGAGGCAATAACCCTTGTGGCTTGAGTTTAATTTGTTGCTGCCAGCCACCTCATACCGTAAACATGTCTATCAGTCTACCAAACTGTACAAAAAAATACAGACATGATCTCCTGTCAGCCAGACATCAATCGAACTTCAAATCTGAAGTCGAAATTTTCCTGGAGCGTTATAGCCAGGACATAAAATCCCTCGTTGGCCCTTTGTGTAAGTTCGGCGGTACCACATCTTGTTCGGCAGAAAGTTTTGATCCCATTTTCACACCAACAGGAATGTGCTACACATTCAATTCAGCGAGGAATGGGAAAGTAAGAACAGTGAACAATGGCGGAGTTTCATCTGGATTGTCGATCATTCTTGATGCTCAGACACCCGAGTATTTTCAAGGAAAGATGTCGGTGGGATTCAAAGTTCTGGTTCATGATGAATGGGAAGGAATCAACGTAGGACCAGGACAACACGCTGTCATAGCTCTCACACAGAAAAAGGTAAGATTTAGTTCTTTAACTTTGTTCAAAGTGTATCAAATCAGGTAAGTTGAATATCTTGATCTCAAATAATTTTGTATCTGGTGTCTTTAATTAATGCTCAAAGTTCATATGATGAACACACTAAAAGTAGTAAACAAAACAACATAACTCAAGTGTCTTGGCCTTTAACTCACTGTTTGGAAAAACACTCTATTTTTTATTTTACAACATTCCTGTCTCCAAAATTATCCACAGCGCCTTCTTAATTGGCTACAAAAATGGACGAAATAACAATACCTTTAATATGCTCTCATCAGTTTGACGCCCAAAAAACCCAGTGTCGTTGATTTTCCCTTGTTTATTTTTCTCATTGCAGTATAAGAACCTAGAAAAACCTTACCCTACAAACTGTACAAAGAGGAGCTTAAAAGCGTACACCAGCTACACTGCAGAGGGATGTTTTTTCGAATGCAAAGCGGAAATAATTACCAAGAAATGTGGCTGTCGGCTTTCAGGATACACAGGTATGATGTAACTAAAACAAGAAACAACAAATCACTGAGTAACACCCAAAAACCCAGTCGTTACAGCTGAAAAAAAGATGGGAAAATAGAGGAAGAGAGAAAGACAAAAGAATAGTAAAGAATACCGAAACATTGAGACAACAACAGCAAAAAAAAAAAACAGCAATTCCCCACTTCCACAATATCATTCCTACCTTTATCAGAGTGTAATTTGTCGGGTTGACAATACTCGGAAATTATCCTTTTTTTCTTTGGCCCTGATTAACAAGTATGAGCAAAATAAACTGAACACCGTTACTGGCTAGACAGTATAATTTTCTGTTACGTTCGTGTTTTGTTTTTCTTAATTAAGGTGCACCTGAACACGTCACTTGCACAACCGTGGAAGAATATTTGTGTGTTTACAAAATTCAGGGTAAGTAATCCTGTCTTAGGTTTCTCAAGGGTACTAAACGTATTTCTAACGATAAAGGCCTGGCTTTTGCAAAGATATTAAACCTTCTTTTATATCATTTTTGTTTCTGTTGGCGTAAAGTGTGGGGATTACATATTTATACCGCATTTTAACGGGCTTTGATTTTCTGATTAGTAGATAGCCAAACAACTTCTTTTGATGCTCTTGTACTGATTTTTTTGCGTGTTAACATATTTTTTTTGAAATTGTGTTTCATAAAAAAAAGAAACGGTTACCAAGAAGACGTGTGGATGTGAAGTTCCTTGTTACTATTCCAAATACAGCGCTGAAGTGAGCTATTCATACTTTCCTGATCCAGGCACAGCCGCTGCATTTATAAGACATGGTTATTATGATGATCATCGATATCAGAGGTGATTTTTTATTGCTACAAATTATTGTCAAGTAATAGATACTGTAACAACCAAGCTATCTAGCATAACATAACATAACAGACCCAACGTAACGTCATGCAACTTAACTCAACGCAACGTTAAATAACTAAATGTAACGTAATGCACTGTAACATAACGCAGGTTCACTTAACACATTACAACGAAAGCTAACAGAAAAAAATGAGATAACTTATATCGTAGACATGACATAGGACTGCATGTAAATGTGTAACATAAACACAAATAGGAATGGAAACATGAAATTTACAAATAAAACAGTAACAAATGCGACAACGTGAACTTAACTTGACCTAGACCTAGCGTAACGTACATATTACCTGAAATAACGAAAAATGTAATGGATATAAAAATATAATGGTGAAAAGTGTTAAAATTAAAGGTATTTACCCATTGTCAGAGCAGTTCACCTTCAACGCAGTGAAGTGCGAACAGGTACAAAAAATTGTCATATCAATGGCGAGTGGTAAGGCCCCTGGGGTTGATAAAATCCCAATCCATGTGATCAAAGATTGTTTGCCTGCTATCTTGCCATCGTTAACGTCTATTATTAATGCTACCTTTGAGTTTGACACCTTCCCTTTGGCCTGGAAAACAGCTGAAGTGACACCGATACTTAAGGCTGGAGACCACGATATTCCAAACAATAATAGACCGATTTCATTACTCCCTGTCCTTTCTAAAGTCTGTGAACGTGTCGCTCACAATCAACTTACGTCATATCTACTTTCGAGAGGCCGTTTATCATCCAAACAAAGCGGAAATAAACAGTGGCATTCAACGGAAACATCTGTCATTCAAACAACTGACGAAATCCTAAATGCCATTGACAAAAAGAAACTGACTGCAGTTGTCCTTCTTGATCTAAGCAAAGCTTTCGACAGTATTGACCATCAAATACTCCTCGCTAAGTTACAGGACATTGGTGCGTCCAGACCTGCGATAAAATGGCTCGGAAGCTATTTAGCCTCGCGATACCAATTTGTGCGAATAAATACAACTCTGTCGACCAAACTACCTGTTAGCTCTGGCGTTCCACAAGGGAGCATCCTTGGCCCATTACTCTTTAACATCTACGTTAATGATCTCCCTTCTGTGCCAGAAAATTGTACATCGCAGTGTTACGTCGACGATACCAAACTTCTCATGTCATTTCAACTCCGCGATCAGCACGAAACGATAGAAAAAATGAACAAGGACTTGTTAAGCATTAGGAATTGGTGCTTTGATAATCAGCTTTTACTCAACCCAGATAAAACAAAACTAGTGATATTCGGCAGCCGGCAAATGACTGCTAAGTTTAGCGACTTTAGGCTATTTCTATTGGGGAAGGAACTCGAGCCCGTTAAGGCTGCAAGAGAACTTGGTGTCACACTGGACTCTAACTTAACATATAATGAGCATATTGTTTCTACTGTATCCTCATGCATGTCACGTTTGGGCCAAATTAACCGCGTTAAGCATATTTTTAATAAACACGCGCTAATTATTATTATAAATGCCTTAGTATTTAGTAAATTATTCTATTGCTCTTCTGTTTGGAGCAATACTACTCAAACTAATCTGGACAAGCTCCAAGCAGTACAGAATTTCGCTTGTCGTATTTTGAGCGGCGCTAAAAAATTCGATCACATAACTCCTTTGCTAAAAGACTTGCGCTGGCTACCAATCAGGCAACAACTTTATTTTCGTTTTGCTGTTCTGGTTTTTAAGTGCATGACGAGTTGTGCTCCGGAGTATTTGACATCAAAGCTCGTTGGAAGATCCGCCGTCTCGACAAGGAATACGAGAAATTCTCAACTTTTGAACATACCACTCTTCCGCACTGCCAGCGGCCAAAGGACCTTTCAATATAGAGCAACCTCTCTCTGGAATGAGTTGCAGCCTGCGCTCAAACTTAGCCCATCCGTGACGGAATTCAAGTGTTTACTCAGGCAAAAGCTTCTTAATGACTGCTTTATTTAATTAATTTAATTAATTTTATTGACCTTTGTCTTCTTTTATCATTGTTATATTCTTATTGTCATGTACTTGGTTTATAATTTTGTAATGTAAAATTGACTCTGAAAAGCCCCGTGGGGACGAGCCAATAAAGTATGTATGTATGTATGTATTTAATTTCATGTTGTTGTATTTTCGTATGTGTTTTTTTTCCCAGAGAAAATCTTGTCTATTTACAAGTGGGCTTCAAGACGATGAGCTATGACTTGCAGGAAGAACAGCCAGCTTATGATACAAATTCTTTATTTGGTATGCTATTTTATGTAATTACAAAAGTCTTGTCTATCTTCCCCACTTACAATTCTCGACTAGGGACTAGTCACCCCGAAACTATAGGAGAATGGGTAAAACAATGTCTGGGATCGTTTGGGTGGACCAATCATAACAAACGCTTGTGCACCCAAATGATTTCAGGAACTACTGCACCCAAAACTGGCTTGAACCCATTCTTCTTACAGTGTCTACAGGGTAAATAAATCCGTCATGGCGTTATTTTATCCTCAGAGTACACTCTTTTGTCAAGTAGTCGAATGCAAGTCATCATATAGTTCACGTGCAGTGATGGGGGTTTCTGAATCTCCATGCTTCTCTTTTTCACGGGTACTTCAGGATAGACTGCCATATACTCTTGTAATATATGTCATTTCCCTTATTTTTTAGGCGAGATAGGAGGCAGCATGGGATTGTTCCTTGGATGTAGTCTGATAACTATCTGGGAGTGGCTGGACTTCATATTGACTCAAATATTCACAGCCAGAGAACGTCGCCTTGCACATCCAGCGTGATGTAAGCAGGCACCGGAACGATTCATTATACTTTTCTTTTAATTTACATCGTGACATTTCTCATAGATTTCTTTTATTTGAAGTAAACGATTTTACTGTAAATTTCAAGAAATGTTGCTTGCTATCTACAACACACGAACTAAGAACTTGCTAAGTATGTTTCAACAAATTGAACAAAACAAGTTTACCGATAAACCTTTTGGCTGAGTTTAAAAACGTCATGGATAAGGTTCAGAGAACCCTTTACCTACAAGTTAAAGACAATTGAAGCTTAACTTACAGGTGTTTTTAAAACTGCACAAGAATTGCTCTGGTTGCTTGTAATGCAACGAAAATGACAATTGGCATTCATTGTTCTTGATGCCATGATCATGGCATGAACTGAAAAAAGAGTTGCAGAGTAGTATAGTAGGGATCTTTTACTCCGTGTTTTTAAAGTGGAACCTTATCAGTTTAAAGTGGAATACATCGATGCAAATGACGTTATAGCCTTTTGTCTTAAATTCATGAAGAAAATGGGGCGTATCCCATTAACATAAGGTCATGTGCTATTTTTAGGTGGATTAACTTGTTTGACAAGTTTTAGATTGATTATGCGATAGTTTCTTTCATATAATGTGTATAATACCCTTATTTGGTCTCGAAGCCATATGTGACAGAAAATCACTGAACCGTAACGTAATTAAGCGAGTTTTATTTCCCGCGGCTTTCATGTTCCATAAAAGACAACGAATTGTCCTGAATCCGCTTCACTGTTTCTTGACGTGCATGTCGTGCATATTAATGAGAACGAAGGTAAAATGGCCTTTTCTAGCAATAAACACAACTTTTACTTACTCCACTCAGCTCTCCTTCCTTCTTCGCAGCACATTTGTAGCATAACACTTCCAAACCTGCAAGGATGCACACGGTACCAAACTCCGCTGCACCTTACGCATGCGCACAGCCATACTGGCCATACCGAGGATTTTGGTTGTGTTCTTCCTTGTAGTTTTGGTCTTCTTTGTAACATTAGTTGTCCATAGTTTTATCTCGAGATTTCTGAAGTCATGTCGCACTTGACAAATGTACTTGTATGGCATTAGTTGCGCATGGTTTTACCCAGAAATTTCTGACGTCATGCCGCATGTATCAAATAACGCCTTTTCAGTGTTGCTACGAAGGAGATAAGGAAGTCGAGAAACTCGAATATCGTTAACAAACTGCATCCCAAGAATAAGCCCATGTTGCCCCCGATCTCACCTACAACACAAAAGAAAGGAAAAAATAATGGAAATAACTGTCAATTGGCGTATATCAGTCAATAAAAGATCAATAGCATCTCATCATTTTACTATGGTAGGTTGTCTCAGTGGTAAATTTACCTAAGGATGCAATTGGTTGGACCGTGATAGAGACCTACGGCGCGCGGTCGTACGTCATGTGATCATATGAATACTGTCGAATCCTTTTACTCAAAATGTCAAAGTAAAAATGAATATAATGTGACTTTGAAAAAAAATGTCATAGGTCTATTGAGATTAAATATGTTACCTGGCTTTGGTTTTCGCAAGACCGCTGCAACACATACACAACATTGGGCTAATAAATAATAATAATATTTCTCAATAAAATTAACAACCGAATCATTTTACCAAACAGGGAGTTTCTGTCGTACGCAGGCTGCTCCTCCTGTAGCTCATAGCTCAGCGACTTAAAACCAACTTGCAAAAGCACGATGTTATCCCTAAAAAATGAAAGTAATAAACGTTATTTGAGTAAAACGTAAGGACTTAACTTCTTTTGATCTTCATCATCTTCATATCTATAAACCACATATAATAAGTCCCTCAATGACATAAGGATGAAGATGTGCATGTGATGACGTGGTCTATGTTTTTTATTCTTTGTTCTTGTACAGGGAAAAAAATATTAAACTGAGGTGTGTCTATGTTGTTATGTTATGATAGGAAGTAAATTTTTTTATGTTGCGATGAAGTTCATGAAATCATTATATTATGACTGGTTTTAACATCTGCAAATCTATATTTTTAAAGATAGGTTAATGCTTAAGAGTAACAGGAATACCTCTGACACTTCTTGTTGTAGTGCTAAATTGAAAGAGTATTTACCTTTGATACTCAATGTCATCATAATAACCGTCTTGAATAAACTTTTGAGCGGTGATACGGTTGGGAAACTTGGAGTAGGACACATCAGTGACGTATGTGATCTTTGAGCAGGGAACCTCACATCCACATGAGTCTTCCTCTAAAGATGCTAGACAAAATAAAAGGATCTTTATACGATTGTGGGACTGACTTGCCACCCTACCCCTCCCCTTCTTCTAGTGTTATAACTATGGATGTCTGAGTTTCTCAAAATATTAAAATCATTAGCATCATTACAACTTTTTACGTTAAGAGGGCGAAAACGATGAGGAATCTAAGTCTTTCAATTTCATTACTATCATATGACTATCGGATGACGTAATGTTAACTTACAATTTTGCCTATCCATTAAGAATAAGCAGAACTGGACTTGAACTCGACCAAGTTCACTTGGTCTTAACTAATATATGTAATACATACCCGACACCTTTGCAAAGCAGTCCATTTCATCGGGTTTCAAGCAGTTATGAATATCTGGAGCTCCTAAAAACGAAACGAATGTGCATTGCTAACTAAATTTGTCCCGCAGTAAAGGTGTACTAAATGAACACAAACAACGAACAAAAACGACAACAGCAGCAAAAAAAAAAAAAAAAAACAAAACCAACAGGAAATCCTTGATTGCCTACAAAAGGCCATAGTTTAGTCTATGTAGTGATTTATCAGGATTGCCAGCAAACCAAGTGATTACCTACAGTAGATGATCAATTATAATAAACACGAGGAAGACTGTTTCATGCAATAAATAGAAACTGTAACATGCTTATGTACCTTTGTAATCTGAAGGTCGGCAGTTGCATGATTTTATGATGTTTTGAGCTTCACATTCATAAAGACAGCCTTCTATTGTGTAGATGGAAAATGTTTTCAATGTTTTCATGGAGCAATTAGAAGCATATGGCTTTTCAAGATTTTTGTACTGAAAAAAAAAAGAGCAAAACAAGCGGAAAAAACATTCACTAGAAAATAACAAATGGTAACATTTGAGCACTACAACTGGCTTCTAACAAAGCATCGTGAGCACCTTGGAACAACAAGCATATGGATAAGCATATATTCAGTTTAGCTTCTGCAAAAGTGATCTGCAAATCAATGCGAAAAAAGATTGTATATATCTTTAATTATTTGTTACCCTTTTCTCTGTTAAAGCTATGATAACATGTTGTCCTGGTCCAACGTTGATTCCTTCCAATTCATCGATATACTCGCCTTGTCCATGAACGAGAACCTTGAATCCTTCTGAGAATTTCCCATAACTATATTCATCTGTCTGGGCATCAAGAATGACTGTCAATCCAGATGATACTCCACTACTGGTTACAGTTAACTTCCGGCCGTAAGCACCCGAGTTAAAGGTGTAACACTTCCCCCATTGGGTTGTCGTGGAAACGAAATCTTTATCAGAGCAATCCGTCTCACTCCAGCCATAATAGCACTCAGGTCCAAGGAGTTCACTGATATCTTGACCGTAGTATCTAAAGAAAGAGTCAATATCTGGGATATGACGACTTTGCAGTTTGGTATTTCAGGGGCAACGTTTGCAAGTGCGCGTGGTGAACAGCAACAAAGCATAGCTAATCCGCATGGGAGAGTACCTCGAACCCCTGCAGTTACAGCGCAAGAGCTGATATTTAAGCCGCTCGACTTAAATACAGGGTTGTCATCTGTCATGAGTAATTTGCTTAAGTCAAACATGTTGCGAGAGCAGATCGTAACCGCTGGAAAGTCCATCTCGTCAACGTGCTCATGCTTCAACACGGTATTGACTGGACGGTCGTAGTATTTCTGGAACGCTGTTCGAACTGTGCAAAGGTAGTAGGCACCAGAGATCAATACAACACAGCCCAGATAAAGCGAACGAGAAAATGGCGTTCCATAAAGGCATAACGAATGCCATGTAGTGTCGTGTTGTCGACAAATTCTTTCACCATATGTCTCGGAGACCGGGATTTGAGCCTAGGGGAAGCGTCCGGCTGGGAATGATATTCACCGTCTGATAACTGTGTTATCTGTACACTGTTATCCCCTTCCATAATGTTGTATATTACACTGATCTTCAGATCATCTGTTACTAACAATAAGTAAAGACTGAAAGGGAAAAAAATGCCCAGCCTGGTCAGAATTCTCTTTGATACAGGTTTCAGAGACGTCATGGCCAAATTTCATTCATTTGGCAATTGAACACTTTGCATCCCACTCTCGTTACTTTATGAGGCTTTTTTATGGTTTATTCCCAGTTATTTTCTACGCTTACGATTTACACCTTCTGTTGTTTATTAACACACAGGACACTTTTGAAGTGTGTTTAGATCCCTGATCCTGACCAAAGGCCTCCCATTGCTCAGTAGTTGGAGGGCGAACCTTGCTCGCAAACATGATAATTAATATCTCACATATCAGTATTTTAAATATAACACTTACGTGTGGATGAAAGAGACAGAGTTCTTTAATATTGTACGGTCGAAGGAAATAGGGGGAGTGAAAATGCTAAATATTGCTTTCCTGGGTATTACAGCTACAAGCTGGTCGGTGTCTCCAGATATTTTTTTCTTTGAGAATTCATTTAAAAGTATTACGACAAAGCATTATACCCATTATTATTATTATGTATTATGAATACATAAGCATATTTGAAAGCTTCAAATTCTTAAACTGTGGTAAGAAAAGAAAATTGGGAATTTTAAGAAACTGAAGAAAACTATGACTAACAGAACCCTCCCGTCACCATGACTATAGAAAAGGTAAAGTTTACCAAGATATCTAACCTTTGGGTTGATTTATGCCTAAGGCATGTGTACCCCGCATCCAGGGAGACCAAGGTAAATACAACAGAAATAAGAATTACCTCCTGCACCAAATTTAAAATGATCTCTTTCTTTAACACCAAGGGTGCGTTCGATTGGGAAATCCGGATTTAGATTTTCAAAATCTAAATCCGGATTTCCCAATCGAACGCGAAATCCGAGAACGGATTTCACCTCCGAGAAATCCTTCCTCAGGGTGGATTTCAATTAAGAAATCCAAATCCGGATTTCATGGATTTCCTTTTACCGTTCGATTGGGAAATACGAAAAAGGATTTGCACAACTATTCTCGGGAACAGTGGTCTTCCTTTTTCTAAGTATGCGTGCGCGTGCAAGACCGCTGTTCTTAAGGACAGTTTTTCAAATCCTTTTTCGGATTTCCCAACCGAACGGTACAAATGAAAATCCAAAAACAGATATCTCAGCGTCGGATTTTAAAATCTAAATCCAGATTTCCCAATCGAACGCACCCCAAGTAACTGTAGTACTCTACATAAAATACCTTCCAAAAATATTTTTGCTTCGAGCTGAAACTCACCCTACGCTGCATAACGTGTTGAGCTGCTCTTGTGAAGCTTTTAAAAACACAATTGCTGGCTGAACATTTAAGACATGAAAGCATATTATATAAATAAAATATAATGCTAAATCATTAAGAGTATTTTTTAATACAACTTAAAGCCATGTCATTATGGTCATTCAGACCCATGAAATGATACTTTCGTTGAGATTACGCGGATTTTAATTATCTGGCTGTTTCGACCAATGGGATTTCAAGCCAAATTAAGGCTATTGTTGCCCATAACAAGTAACTCGACTGGTGCATCATTAACATCTGTCAATACCTGTTAAAGAAATGTTAAATTTCAGTTAATATCCGTGATACACATCGAAAACGAAATTTTAATACAATCAGATTATTTTTAAAATTTGACTGAACATATCATGTCAGTCCTCGGATCAATTTGGTCACAGAATTTGTATTTTAATTAAAAACCTTTTATCGATGATAATTAAAGAGGTAATATTAAGCTTTTCCAGATTACCATTTTCTTGAAATTTTGTGGCCATTCAACTACTTTTTATTCTAGATTCTAAGAAGAGTACCCCTTCGAAGCATTTACAGGGTATATTTTAATTCTACAAGGGTACAGCTTCCTTGAAAAAGAAAAATTATTTCATGTCATCAAAGTCATTAGTCATTAGAAGTTAGTACTTAGCTGTCTTTTGTTTCGTACAATCAGTTGGAGAATTTCTATGTTGACAGCCATTTCCATAGATAAGAAGTATTGTACGTGAATTCTCACTCTTAGTAGTGGAACTGCATTTAGCTTTCCACTCATATAATTAGAAGCAAATAATCCAAGTAGAACATAACAGGATAAAAAACCATGTAACTGGCAGGTCAGTACTCAAAAAGCATAAGGAGTACTACCTTTCACGCACTCATGTCCCGATTAAATGATGGCATGCAGTAACGTGGAGAAAGAATGCTGACTAAAAAAACACTTTTTCATTAAGACTTCTAATCGAGGATTGGGCATACAGGTTTACTCGAATATGACTACGGAGTAGGAAATTGAAAAGCTTTTTGTGGTCTGAGACGGGAAAGGGATTCCAAGACCTCAGCAAAACACCCCACCCACATTTTGTACGCCCCCCCCTGGACAAAAACAGTGCGTAGACTGAGGAGAAATGGCTTACTTTTTAGCCTTTAAAATGTAATTCAGCTTGTTTGTCTTAAAATCAATGCAGAATACAACCACACGTTATAATATATCGTTGATATCGTTGTTGTATAACTAGCACATTCCACAAGTGCGCATGCACTTATGACTATTTTTCTTGCAAGATTGTTCGTAAAATGCTGTAAACATACAGTAGGACTCGTCTTCAGTATCCTCACAAAATGTACGTCTGATGTTTGTTCCTCCTAAATATACATTATAAAATAACAATAAAGTAAAATAAGCAACCTTATTGACCTAGGACATGTAGGTCATTGGAGTTGAGCGATAAAAGAGGAAGCGTCATAAAAAAAAACTGAAGCCAAAAACTAAATAAATTTGTAAGCAAGCCATTCTGAAACGAGGTGAAGCTGTAATACCTTAATAACTTAAAATGTTATTGAAATGATAATAAATACCAATCTGAGGTCAAATATATCTTGTATTTTTTATTATATTTTACTTTATTTAGCTTCCCCTATCTAGAAAACAATATAATTATAGACATCAAATTATTTAGTAGGGAGACCACTACAGCCTATAGCCAATTATAGTGTCTTATATGCAAAGTTTATGTCGGAGTCGCTGGGAGTTTTTATCGTGATAAATGATGTGTATATTGACATACCAAGAGCTTTGAACAATCTTGCACCTTTATCGTTTTCTGTAGAATCTTTGGCGGCAAGTGACATCGTCAAGCCATTAGATGCCAAGCATAAATACAATAACTTCTTTGATTCCAACCATTTTAACTTGAGCCTAAAACAGTGAAGAGATAGAATTTAACCAAACCTAACAGCGGATCGAATGTCCATGACTTGAAAAAATTTTTTGGCCAACAAAATAGTATATCCTGAGCCTGATATTTCATGAAAGTTAGGTACCACTGACATTATTTAGCTGTAGGAAGTCTTGCCTTTCTTTCACTATTCTCTCCAGAAAAATACTTGTATAAGTAAAAAGTCAACATGAATAAATTTAACCTATCAATGTCTCATAATCAATTGTAATTTTTCTAAACTACTGTCCGATTGACCAACCAACGGACTAACGATATAATTAAAAAAATAACCTTGGGTGCACGAGTTTCCAATTATTGACCCCTTGACCTGAGCGTCAATGACCATCTATTAACAACCTCTAGATTACAAGCCAACTATGTAATAGAAAAAGCAATTTGGTCCGTGTGATTTTAATTTCTTTCTGCTTTTTTCTTTGGCAAAAGGTGCTAATTGTTATATGACTCAGTGACAAACTACTAGAGGACTTCAAATTTTGATGAATCGACAATTTTCTATCCTGAAAGGCTTAATTTCTTGATATTTTTGCGCAGTAACCATCAATCAAATTCTAAAGTTTGCCCGTTTGAAATGATGATTGGCAAAGAACTCGATTTGACTTTAAAATGGCTAAGCTTTGTTATAGTAATAATACGCCTATAGCTGCCTGTGAGATATTTTTGGCAAAATTAAAGATTCAGATTTAAAAAAAAAGCCAAAGGGTGTATCTTTTTTACATATAGCAAGACTCAATTGAGCTTCATTTGTGTATACTGCCGCCAAAATATTACGTAGTAACTCGGTCAAATAATCGTAAAAACAAAACGAGATGTACCAGTGAAAAAAGGGATGGACATACCTTCTTGAGGATTTCTTACTTTCTCGAAGACAGTGAACAGCGTTTGGGCAATCCAGAAAATGCTTTTTAATTTTTCTTTAATCTAACACACTAGAAGCTTCGTTAACAAAATACAATTGCGATTGGTGTGATTGTAATAAGTACTTAAAATTTTGAGGTCAACGTGACGCTTAATTATCAAACTTAAAATTATATATCAAGTAATATTTTGCTTAGTTGAACGTCAAAACAAAGTTAAACCAGGTGGCAAATAAAAGAAAGGGTTTTATTATTGTGCGTTTCTTTTTGATAAAGGTAAGTGGAGAACACATGTGCGATATCAATAAACTTTTTTATGGGATGAAAAAGGAAACAGCCTGAGTTTCCAGTCTCCTTGATAATTTGAGATGTACCATCTTCGATTGACCAGACTGATTCAGTCATTTTCTTGCTATGTTCACGACGCGCGGAATGATGTAATAAACAATTAAGAAACCGTAGGTACTACTTAGTATTAAGAATGACTTATTTCCTTTTTTTTTAGCAAAGAATGCGCTTCCGAATGGTTTTTAGGGTGTGGCTTGTCCATCTTGGGCATAAGATAAGCGTTTTTTCTATCCTATGCACTGACGGCCGCGTATTACTGCAACGTTGCTGCCTACAGAAGATAATGGCGCAGAAATTCGGGATTTTTCTGAACTACGCATGGCCTAAACTTCAATAGGAGCCCAACAAAAATAGAGATGGAGATTGGATATTGGACTGAGCACACTCACATCAGAGGAATTCCCATTGGAATTACAAGGAACAGAACAACTGTTATATGGAGGGACAAATACTGGGACAAAGAGTCATCCGCTCGCGAGACTATTTACCAGCCTTCCTTGAGCAGACTGACATAATTATATATTCACGAAATAATTAACTAGGTCTCGCCCCTAGGTCTCTCGGGGGGGGGGGGGGGGGTTCAAGAAGCTAATAATTGTCGCCTGGTACCTGTAAAAAAAAAATCTAACATAATCCCCAACCAAAGAACCCAGTAAGACACTTAGTCTCTATTGACAATGATATTTTCTTAGCGGGCCATACATGCTGTAAACCAAGAACGAAATCATCTGCTGCAACAATGTAAGATCCATCCTATATGATACCTGTTCTCGAACATACAAAATGCAGGTCAGGACCAAGCCACACCCAACGTTTTCTCTCCAGTGAAGCTATTTTCCTACGGTAGATTTTAAATCAATGTTCAGGCAATTTTTTTTCCTCCTTTTTTACGATCACGTCCACCGATTTGAATCCTAAGAGCCGTTTGAATTCTCATAAAAGTAAGATTGGGATAGAGCAAAGAAATTATTCAGATATAAATTACACTAGGAGCTCATAGGCCCGGGCTCTTCTACGTTTTACAGATCTTCCTCCGAACTGCTAGTTTCCATGTAGATACTGAAATTGTCGCTTGAAGTACTGTCAGAAAAATCCTCTGAAGATTCCTCACGTGCGTCCGCCATGCTTTTTTTTCAATGTGAAGGAGTTGTCCTGGTTACGTATTAAAAGTTTATTATTGATGACGCATTTGCTTGTGATTGGCCTTTCCAAAGCAGTTCGAGGGAAAGGCTTATCTAAAAATAAACCTACTTGTGAAAACGCCGTTGCATAGGCGCAGTATGGAAGTTAGACGCTCCGGGTTATGGGCTCCTGATTACACCCAGTTTGAAGGTTTATGGACCACATATCATAGCAAAATGATAACATTGTTTATAGTTTTTCCCTTATCTAGGCCAGCCTCTGAAAGATCTGACGGTATTGGCTGCAATATTTCAGTAAAGGCAGGTTAAAACACCATTCAAAACAGGTTCAAACACCATTTAAAGTAGGTTAAAACACCTTTCAAAACAGGTTAAAACACCATTAAAAACAGGTTAAAACACCTTTAAAAACAGATTAAAACATCATTAAAAACAGGCTAAAACACCATTGCAAACAAGGTTAGACAACATTTAAAGGCAGGTTAAAACACCATTTAAAACAGGTTAAAACACCATTAAAAATAGAATTTGGTACCTGTTTTCAATGAAGTTCTCAAATACAATATAAAAATATATCAAAAATATGTTAAAAATAGTGTTTGGTTTGGTACGGGTGATTAACGAATCCGAAAAAAAAATAGATCAGTTATATTTCTTTTTTTTTTTCAAGAAAATAGCGAATAACGTAAAGAATATATTTCTGTATCATATCATCTACATAGCTTATCAGATCGGCTCTTAAGTCCCCAGAGAACATCTGTGCGGTCTCAATAAACAAAAGTGCTTGTAACGGACGAAGAATAGTTCCTCGACTTGATTCGAACTCAGACAAATCGAATTCGCTGCTAATTCGATCAAAATTTCTGGCTTTCCCTTGATCAAAATTTCACTAAAATTTACCCCGCTAACTCGAATTGTTTTTCGTTTCCTCTCAGAGTTCGAGTAACCGGGGTTCTACTGTAATAATGATAAAAAAAATAATAATTGCGCCTAGGACTTTTAATGCTGTGCACAAGAGAAGGTATGCTCTGTAACCGTCAACTGACATAGTTCATGGAAGAATGTCTAATTTTATCCGCTTTAGTAAATGAAACAAACAAACAAACAAACAACAACATTATTGTGTAATCATATAATTACATTTTAAATACATTTCGAGACTCAGTTATTCTGGAGACTCACGTAAGGAAACTTTGTACCCTAATAGGACAATTGGCATTAACCTTGGATAACATATCTAAGATAAGTATTTAGTAAAATCCAACTAGTAGCTAACTAAATCCAACTAGCAATGCTGCGTTCTGATTGGTTGAGCTACTACTAGGCTATATGTTATAGCCTACTAGTAGCGAAAAGCGCCGGCTTTGAAAACAGAACAATGGTGGCTGAATCGCGTTTTGCTAGCTAAAGTTGTTTTATCTTGATATTTTTAACCTACTAGTTGGATTTTACTACACTAAAACAATTATATCTCTCGCAGCCCGTTCGGCCTTCGGCCTCATGAGCTATTGACTCAGAGCCCGGCATTCGGGCTCGAGGAATAATTATTAATTAGTCTATTATAGTTCTATTACAGTGCCACATCATTATTTTTTTTTCAGTGTCAGTCTAAAGTACATAGAATATTCATAGCTATCACCTAGTTTTAAACTTGCATATTTACTATTCCTAACTTGCGGTTGACAGATCGATAAAATGTTTGATATAATTAGGTGCACTTAAAGTTGATATTACATGCATTGCTGACATATATCGCGGTTTGAAGCGTATTATACAGTCTTACATTGGTATATACGACAATGCATTTCTAAAAACAACAGACGAACTTATTTGTTATGAGCGATCAGTGAGGGTATCCCAAAACCATCACAGCCACTGACTCATTCTCTTTCTATTGCTTGTTTGCTCACTCTTAATTTTAAAAAGAATTCATCATTTTGTTTCGGATGAAACATTTGTAACCGCATTACTCAATACACCTTATCTGGTAACCATTCACAGAGTGAAAAAATCCATTCCGCTGTTAACATCTGCAGAGGAAATTCAACCCCACATACCTGTTCTATTTTTTCTAACGGTGATTTTACTTTGAGTAATAATTTTATTGGTGTGATACTTCTTGACAAAATGAACTTGTATCGTTTACGTTGCTTATTTATTGTTCATTATTTTTACTCTTTACAGAGACATTTTCAAATGGCAGCTTTCAAGAATTTGTTATTTCTTCTCTTCATGTGTTGTGTGGTATGTCGAAGCCTGACAAAGCCTTTAAAAGTGGAAGAGGGGGGCAGGTAACAAATCTCTCTCAAAAGGACGTTTCTGGAAAGCGTTGCGGCAGGTTGGTACTCAGCTGATCACTCATTCAAATACTAACCGTATAATCAGTTAAAACTAACCAAGCAATCATATAATCGCTTTGCAAAAACAACTGCTATGGACAAGTTCATCATCATGAGGACTAATTCTGTTTTTCATTTTTACTACAGATGTTGTTTGCCTTTAGCAAGACGTTTTCACTTCTTCGTAAATTAAGAAAAAATATGGTTTAGATTCCTTTAACACTCTTAACAATCTCTAAATGATTTTCGTGAGTAATCTTCTGTTGAGTTAATTGTTTTGTTCTGTTAGTTCCTTGCACTTTAAAAATTAATCATTCTAAGGCGACAAAGACATTCTTTTAAAGTGAGTCGAGTCCATTTTCATTTATCCTTTAGCAAAAACGCGACGAGAGCCATGCGAGAACAAAAAGGATGCCTATTATTGTTTCTTTATCGCTGTAGTGGAGGATAACTGTGCCTCTTCAGGAGATATATGCAGCTGGACTTGCCCACTGTGCAGTTAAACGTAATCTTGTGATGTAAAAAACTAAGATTGCCTTGGAGAGTCATTAGCAAATAAAAAATCACTCCAGCGTTTAAGTCTGGTGTAAGAAACTAAGATACGCTTTCTTTTTATTTACGGTCAGTCCATTAAGAGGCTAGCTCAGTTAAGGTTGACATTTTCCTCGCTATATCTTCTTATTGGATAAACCCGCTTCGAGTCACAAAGGAAACGCTACCTGCCACCGACCTAATACCCAATAATCATGTTCTAAGAATAAGCCATCATTACGTGAATTTTTTGTATTAACAGTTAGTCGTCAGCCTTGAACTAGAGCTTCCCGTCACTGTACCGAAGTGACTGGAGTGATGTTGGTACGTTTGCACAACTTTGCTGCCACGACACTGCACAGGAACTCGATAAACTCACAGAGTGTCAGAACGCTGCAGCCAAGGAGCAAACCCATGTTACCTCCAATCTCACCTGGTATTCAACAGAGAAAAAAGGAGGAACGAAAAAAAAAACAAAAACAAAAACAAAGACAAATTAGTTGGCTCGAAAATGACAAACTGTAACTGTAATCACTTATTTCGGCCTTCTATTATCTTTCAAAGGGAACATACCAGAATCGCATGTGTACGATATTTAATTTACTCTACCTTTACCACGAAACCAACTAACTTTTTTGTCTACGTTGCTGTTCATTTTTATCCTTGGTTTAAATGTTATTTTCCTTTGTTTTGGGGTATGGTATTGTATGACCATAATGAGTTTGAAACAAAGGAAAATAAAATTTAAACGAAGGATAAAATTTAACCACAACATGTCCACGGATAGACATTGATAAAGCATAGAATCTGACAGGTAACCTTGTTGAGTTCCTTTTACAGCGTACCTCACCCCACGGCCCCTGGTCGCTTATACACAGGAGTTTCCCCCGCCTCCCCTCCCTGGCTGAATTCCATGTATACTTCATATTTCCATTTCAGTGTTGCAACTTACCAAACATGGCATATATGTCGTACACTAGCTTCTCCTCCTGCAATTCATAACTTAATGACTTAAAGCCAACTGTTAGGTAAACAAAATCCTGGCTACGAAAACAAAATACACAGTCAGTATTATAGCAAAGAAATCTGAAGGAAATGATTCACCTTTACCAATTTTTCTTTTTTCATAACCCCTGCAAAATTCAAATATAAAACCTCAAAGATGTAAAATTTATTTTTCTTTTCTTTTTTTAAACGGCAGATACTACACGGATGCATTGTGTAGCTGTGGGGGTATTATTTCAAGGATGTTTCAGGGTGGGGGTAATAGAGAGTGGAAGCTTATTTGAGAGGGGGGACTTAATCAATTAACCGAAATAGGGGACCATACTACTTTTTCAAACAAACAGAAGATGGTATCAATTCTCCATAAACAACGAGGAAGCAAAGGGGAAATGCTCAAGGAGATGACGTTAAAGGTCTTGGAGCTAAAGATCCTAACTTCCAGATATGAATAAACCACACTGGATCAGTCCATTTTTTATTTTGGTAGTGAAGAACAAGGAGGGAGAGGAGGGGACGGGGCTTAAAGAGAAGGGGGCTTAATAACCTTCTTCCCTTGATCGAGAGGGGGGGCTTTTTAAAAAAGGTGAGCTTATTTCGGGGGAGGCGTTAATAGAGGAGGTATTACCGTTACCTATTCCCGTTGAGATTACTGAACCAATTGCTAACTGGACTAGAGATTGTCTTGTCAAGAAGTTTGGAGAAAGATACTTCCGCCTTGTATTTTGTCTGATTACAAGAGACTGGACAGTCACATTTCACTGTGTCCTCTGAATAATGAAAGAAAGCAGCAATGTTAGAAAAGTACAGTCTCTCACTAAGTAAAAACTTTTGAATACCTTGGTGCACACTTGGTGCACACACAGCACATGAATGAAGCTGACTCGTTAGTTTTAAAGGGACTGGTTCACGATAATGCGGATGCGCGCCGTTTGTCTCTCCAGAAAAAATTTGTCGGGTCAACACTAAATTCGAAATCGCCATTACCGGTACAATCATTGAAAATCCTTCGTTTTATTCGGACATCCGTCGCTTTGGCTGGTCTAGTTATACTTCGGTAATGGTGATTAACGTGCGGTTGTGTCGTTTGACTGGTTACGTTTTAAGAAGACGCAAAAAATAATGTTTTGATCATGGAGGTTCAGAAGAGCATCCTGGCCGTCCGGCAACTGGACTTTCTCAAGAGTTTTTGGAGATAGAACAAGAACGAGAAGTCCGAAGACTACAGCAAAGCTGATTTAAAACAACGTGTATTGTTTTTATAACAATATTTCGGCTGGCCATACCAGCCTTCTTCAGGTTTACAGATGTTATAAAAAACAATACACGCTGTTTTAAATCAGCTTTGCTTCAATTTGCTGTAGTCTTCGGACTTCTCGTTCTTGTTCTTTATATTTTGGCTGATTTGATCTCTTCTCTAGAGATCCAACGTTTACAACTAGTAGGATCTTCGTCCACGGTTTTCGCAGTTAATTTAATCCTTTATTTTGGAGATAGAGAAGCTTAGCCTATCGATCTGGTATGGTTCTAGGAGTAGTGTGTGGCTTACGAAAAGAATACACGACACTTGGAAAGTGTTTAAAAGCATGAGTTCGTTCAACTTTGATTTGATTTTTGACTCCGACCTGTAGTTATACCGCACCAGGCCGCGCGATCTTCACCGATCTGGTTAGCCTGTTCCAGGCGTTCAGATAGTGGGGAGCGGTGCGAAGTAAAAAGGAGCGCGAAAAAATAAAAGCGAGGGAGGAGGAGAGGTGTTCCCCTCTACTTTTCATCGCTTTCTTTACTCTGCACCGCTCTCCACTATCTGAACGCTTGGAACAGGCTACGATCTGGTACACTTGAAATGTTCCTTGTATCTTTGCTTTACGATCGTATATGTTTAAGAATTGATGTTTTTAAAATAAATTATTGCCTGAATATTCTGTTTATAATCTAGTTTCTTTATGTGTGCTACTCGATAACATTTGTTTTGCGGAACACTGACCCGATGCAACGCGAATGAATTTCTTCATTTGCTGATAAGCAAAAGAAATTTATGCTGAATTAAGGATAATCCTTATACTCATACGTTTTGTGTTTTTGTCACCGGTCAGGCACTATTTTTAGGTATTTCTGGGTTTATATAAGGCGAAATGAGAGAACAGCGTGGGTACGACCTCGTAAAAATACACATTGGTAAATGTTTGTTTCAAAGCAGGACAGGGCTGTAAATTTTATTTTTATCGGCTGCAACATATATCTGAGGAGTAGCAAAGAATAAACTTGAATTATGGGGATAAATATAATCAAACCAAATGGCCGGAAATACTCTCGCGTCGCGAACAATTAATTTGAATTTTGTAAATTTACTTGCGTGCATCTAACTCTTTTCCGATTGGTTGAAAAACAATCAGCTACTGTCAGAACTCACACATGTGCATTATCGTGAACCAGTTCCTTTAACCGAATGTAAGAGGCCGAGCGTCACTCAGCGTTAATGGGGGGATCGGCGTATCACTTAGTGATTGCCGTTTGGTTTAGTTAATCAGTTTACTAAACATTTTATTGAGGTGAGGCTTATATACAATGTACATGTGTCATAAATGAGTGAAAGTACATGTTGTGGATCAATTGTGTTAGTTTAGTTAATCATTATGACCCTCAATTGCCACATGCCAAAAAACAAAGGAAAATAAATTTTAAACCAACAAATATAACTTTAAAGTTATTTCTCGTCATCAACCTTTAAGACCATGAAGACAATGTGCATGTTTCTGTTGGCAAACTTCAATGCTGGATCCTGAATTAAAAGAAAGCAACAAGTTGGTTAAGTCAGTTTAGTCCTAATTAGTTTTTGCGTAATTTAGTTAGTTGTTATTTTAAAAGGAGATTGCAGTAGATAGGGAAGAACGATATGAACGGTTTATTGCAAATGGAATAATTGCTAGAAACAGCAAACACGCCACTGGCAAACTATGGCCTTTATTGATGTTGTTGTTGTTATTATTATTATTATTATTATTATCAGTTAAAAGTGATGAAACATTTTGAAACACGGTTAACATATAGAATTATCTAGAATTAGACAAGCCTAAAAGCGGAGCCCCTTATAAACATTTCGGGAAACTGCTAATAAACTTTAAATCATCGCTTTTCAGTCATGAATTTTTATTGATTTCCGATCGCGATTTTCAGTGATTTCCAGCCCTTGAATAACAGTAATGACATCACGTCTGTTGATTCCTTATCCTTTAAAAATATATTTGTGTCAATTTTTAGGTGCGAACTTACAGGTAATTCTAATGATTTTGATTGCCGTGAATTTTTGATCGGACATTCCGCCATTATTTCGATGGTCGATTGTTGCAATGAAAGTGAAAGAGACGTCATGTCCTCACGAAATTGATTTTTAAAAAATTTAAACGAAACTCACTAACCACACAGAAATGCGATATGGAATCACACGATTGAAATTAAAGCTGATGTTAATACTGTTTTCCCGTTTTTCATAGCCATACACCTCCATTTTGACCCTGTCAGGTGGCGGTTTTCCACCGGAACATAAAACAGTAATAGTGGATCCGGAGAGACCAACCAAATAAACAAAACTTGCCATTCAACATATTTTCTTTGACGAACATACACTTAACATGTTATCAAAGTAAGAGAGAGACTTTTATAAGACACAGCAACATGTACAACATACAGTAAAACATTAAAAGAAATTGGGTGGGGACTGCTGATATGTACTAGTGATACCCGCCGGACGACAGCCACAGTATTCCATATAACGTTTAGCGTTACACTCCTCCAGGCAACCGTCTGTAGTATATCGAGAAAAACTTTTCAATTTCATTGTCTCGCACTTCTTGCCATATCTATCAAGATGCTTGAACTTTGAATGAAAAAGAAAATCATGATATCATCAACATCATCATCATTACCATCATCATCATTATCAGTAGCTGCGACATTTATTTCTCTTTACAAACAAAAACTTGAAAGGTCATCCTCATTATTCCTTTTTTTGCCGAAAGAGAACTTTAATACCATTTTCATAAACTTTAAGGAGTTGGTTAAAAATAGCTTAATAAAAGGAATGATATAAACTGAGGTGTAAGAAAGCAAAAATAGCTAGTACCAGTTACCAACGAATAATCAGAACTTCTAAACGTAGGCTCAACCTTTTCAAGCAATTCAAGTTAAGGAGGGAAGGTCACTGCATCCTAACCTTTCTAAGTCAACTTTGTCAACATTTTCAAATAAACAGCATTTGGACACGTGAGAAACGAAATCTCCGAAACGAAAATTTGACTGTAGCTTAAAGTGATACCAGTTTTTCTTATTTTATTAAATCTCCTGAAGGCAAAGAACATTAAATCAAGAAAGACATAAACCAAACCTACTCTTTGCTCTGAAAGCGAAATGGTAGCATATGTCCCTGGCATTACACTAAATGCCTCGTCAAAGGCATTGAAGCTTTCTCCCTGGGCATGGATCGATATGGAGAACCCTTGTGCTATCTTGTTGCCAAGCGTGTAATCTGACTGACTCACATTCAGCATTATTGCCAGTCCACTGCTCACTCCACCCATATAGGAAACTTTGGATCGATTGTTTTTGCCAGAATTAAAAGTATGGCATATTCCATATTGTGTCACTTCGGTTTCAAAATCTGAGTGATTGCAGTTTTCACTCCATTGGAAGAGGCATCCAAAATAATGAGATAGCATTTCTGCTGAATCCGGGCTGAAGACTGTGAAGAACTGTTCCATGTTGAAAAGAACCCCAGATTCTTCAATTGCTTTTTGCAATGCACTCCTTCTCTGTTCAGTGCAGTTAGTATAATCAATTGGATTTGTTTTATATCCAAAAAAGGCACAGCAGCAGATCATTGCTAATCCACAAGACATGTTGTTCATCTCCCTCTGACGTAACTCCTTAGTAGCCTCGCATGCGCTCATGTTTAGGCCTTGGGCTGCAAAAAAGGGATCGTCGTCCCGCATCATAATTTTTCTTCTGCTGAATAAATTGTCAGGACAAATACTCACTGCCGGAAACGACATATTCTGTTCGTAATTCTTGGTTATCGAGGTGACAGTATGATATTGAAGGTATTTGTTCACTGCCTTATAAAAGGTGCAAATAAAATATGCGCCAAAGGTCATCATTACAACAGACCAAACCACTCGGGAGACCTTTGGTCTTTGCGATGGTAAAACATTCCTTATACCATGCAAAGTGGTATTTTCAATAAATGCTGTCCATTTTTGTGAAAGGCTGCGATGATGTTTCCTTTCTTCCTCTTCTTCTAATTTCTTATCATTCATGTTAGGATTTTTTACGCTCTGAAAATAAAAAAAAAGAAAAGAGCAGTTGCGTGACGGCTCATCAATTCTAAGCGTCACCTCCCTCCTGGGATATTTGAAGGCTATTTGCGAGGTTGTGCGATTGCACTCATCAACCTGAATATATCAAAACACTATTGTTAAGGGCCTGTTTACATTGAGGTGTGGAACCTCAGCCGTAGTTAATTAAGGTAACCCGCTTTGGGGTAACCCCCTTTCCATACAATCTCTCATTTTAACTTGATCACGTTTACATCATGGTAGATGGGGTGACCCGCCGCATGCTACCTCAACTATCTGTAGCCCCCCCACCTGCATGTAAACAGGCCCTTAGTCACCATTCGTCATAATCTTGCCGCTAGTTTCTTCATTATGAGGGATTTTTATTTGAATTATTAATTTATTTACTTTATATTTAGCTGTTTCAAACATACATGATGCGTACCTTCCTGGGGTTTATGTGATGGGCATACAGGAATTGACTCAGCCATGCATGAAGGCTTTTACTTGCAAAGTTTGATTTGTTGAATTCAAAAATCATGGTTTTATTGATATCAGTTTGACATACCCAGAAACTTTTAAGTATATCATTATTTTTTATTATTTCAAGTAAATGGTTTATTGTGTCAAGAGTACTGCAATTTAAAGAATAACTGGATTCTTATTTCTCTCAATTCTAGTATTACACATGCGCAAGAAAAAAGCAAGAACTATTTATAAAGTGGAGCCAACCACTAGTAACAAATAAAAGAAAACTTTTAGTTTCAGGGAAGTGCTTTTGATATTACAATCATGATAATGCGGTCATGTTTTCATTTATTTGATTGCAAATTGTGAAGGGAACAAAAATATTTATAGAACTTGGAACGTGTAATTAAAGGAGACTACTTTAACTCAATTTCCATTGTGAAGATTGCCACAATAGTGAAATTTTAAGGAGGCAAAATAAACTATGTTAAATAGATTACGCATTAGCTATGCAATTTAATGAAATTTCCTTTGCTTTATTCCTCATATTAAATGCAAAAACTAATGCAAAAAGTTTTTATACTATCATTAATTTTCACTTAAAAGCACTCTCGGTAGTAAGCTTCTACAGTGAGAATTGCAATGCCCACATTTTCCTCCTGGATTATCAGTTATTACTTTTTTTTTTCAAAAAAATCCTTCGATGCTGACAGTCGCTGTATCCAACAAACAGTGGGAATCTGATGTAACTAGACTCGTGTAAAAATGACGAAAGCCCCTTAATAAACTGAAGGGAACGATACTCTGACTATTAAGGGATTCTATAGTTACAGTAAATGTGATTTGAAAGGACCTTGGACTTAAAAACTCATTTTTTAGCATGTTTTCTGAGTCTCTCCAGTAACTTTTTTTAACCAGAGATTTTTTAAAATAATTTAAAAATTTAAAAATAATAATTTAAAAAGCCTTAAAAGGCTTTTTAAATTATTCGAGTTGCTGAATATAAAGAAGTGTCAAGGGTATCACCTCAAATGTTCAGAAACAAGAAGACGAACAAAAAAGAGCCAACAAAATCCACAAAAAGGCTCACAATTTGGAGAAGACTACAAAAATAATACTAACGTTTTAAAAAACGTACACTGCAAGATTCCTGTATGTTTTACCACCGATAAATTTTATCATTTGTGGAGAATCAATGAGTCACCAATCTTTTAGCGTGTTTATATTTATGAGAATGTTAGATTGATTTTAAAAGTGATGCTTTTTAAACTTTGCCGCGAGATTTACGTCTCAGTCCGTGAATTCACGTTTCACCCTTCTCCCGTGCCCGGTATATAGTATCCGTTGTGACAGGTTCTACTTTTAGCCGCCAGCAAGGAAACGACACAAATATGTTTTTTCTGTTCCACACCTTAATAAATTGAAATTGGAATAGGCAAAACTGACTTTTTACAGGCTACATTTGTTAATCAAAAGATAAATGATTTTAACTTACCAACAGACTGATGCAAACCACAGATCTGGTAGTCTCCCTTCAATGCAAAAAGCTATGAAATATCAAAGCACCTGCTTAACTATTTGTTATCTTAACAGCACAATGTATGTGGTGGCTTGAACATTTCATTTCCCACAGCTGGATGAATTATTTTATGCAAATCTAGTATAAATTATGGAGCTTATTTGTAAATAATGAAATAAGAATTAAAAATCGAAAACCCTCTAACCGCTCTTGACTTTTTATTACTTGTTGAGCTGAGTTATTTCCTTATGCTTATTTCTTACATTGTTCTCAGCCAAATAGAAAAATCCTTGATTGGTATGGTACAAGTAAAGTTTTCTTCCAAAAAAATTTAAATGTGAAAAAAGAAGTTACGACCAAAAAAAAAAATGGAAACGACCTTTTAAATGCCTGGTCCCTTCTGAGAGGTAAAATTACGATACGATTTAATTTATTTGTACAAAGTTAGATTTTCTCATTGAAAGAAATGATAACAATAAAAAAAAACTAATGCATAGAGGTTCCATTATTTTTAAGACTACTGGGTGAACAGTGAAAATGCATACAACACCTGACCGCTTGGTATGAAAATATACTTAAATTATGATGTACGAAAACATCAATGTAGTGACTATTGATTGTTTTATTATGTATGAAGAGGGCTTACATTGTAACAACCGGTTTTGCCCATATCTTATTACACCTTGACCTGCGTGGTATTTGAAATTTTTTTTTTCTAATTGACCACAATGTACATGTACTAAGTTTCATTTATGACTGTCAGTTTAAAGCTGGAACGGTGGGAAGCATAAAAACAGCAGTGCGAAGTCGTTTGTTCCAAAACAATTCAATTTACCTCCCCAGAACTAATTGTCAGAGAAATTTAAATTACATAAGCATACGTGTAGTAGACATTTTTAAATTGGTTTTCAAAATTAAGCGCTCTTTCTCTGTTGGATTTTACCTAGTAGTATGAGATGATTGTGTAGCAAATATAATACCCAGTCAGAGGGCATTATTGAGGTAATGTGATTATTTTTTATTTTATTTTTATTAACTTTGCAAACAACAAGATAATTGACACAGAAAAAAAAGTGTACATGTATTCACAGGACTGAGCTGACAGGCGGGGACACCGCAACAGCGAGCGCCAATTACTGCGGGCTCAAGACAGATCGATAAATGTAAAAGCTAACAATACTATCTATAAACACCAAACGATGTTCCGCCCTAAATTATGGGCAGCGTTACAGGTCAAGCATATAGATTTGAAAGACCGAGGGTCATCAGGGAAGTAGGAAGCGACAAGAGCTTGTTCGTTAAAACCGTAAAGGACAGCTTTATAAGAACTTAAAGAGCAAGCAACATATAGTCCAAGGTCTGCAGCAAGAGCAGTCTATATTCTACTAGTTCTGTTAAAAACCGATCTTTGAAAGATTATTGTTTTGCAGTGCCTGATTAAAAATAAAGTGATCACGATCCGGATTGCTAGTGTATCTAGTGATTCTTGTTGGAGCGCGAATCCGAGGGGAAACAGCTGGATTAATTTCGACACGCCCAGTTACGGCCTTAAAGAAGAATAGGCCATGTCAAGATATTGGGAAGGAATTCTTTCGCCCAGACATCTTTCAGCTTTTGTAAAGTTAAACTCACTGTGAATATTTCACTTCCAGTCTAGTCCACATTTGAAAGGCTACTTTTTTAAAGTAAATGATAAATGAATTTAACTTACCAACAGAAATAGAACCAGTGATCTCGGGAAGCCAGTCTCCCTTCAACGCAACGAGGCTGTGAAATATCAAACCATCTGCTAAACTATTTATTAGCTTTACAGTATGCGGTAGCTTGAACATAACAAATGAGTAAAAAAAATTCATTTACCTCTGGATAAATATTGTTGTATGCAAAATCCACTGATGGGGGAAATAATAATCAAAAATCGAAAGTCCCTTGTTCCTTTACTTGTTGAGCTGAATTATTCAATTACGCTAATTTTCTATACTATTCTCATCCATATAATAAGGTCGTAGTTTGGGATATTACAAGAAAAATATTCTTCCAAAAAATTAAAAACAAATTTAAAAAAAACGAAGAAGAGTTATGAGCTTTTAAAAACCTATGCCTCCTCTAAGAAGTAAATGTTGATCACGTGTGCGAATCACACATTAATTAAAGTACACACTGTTAGATGGTAATTAGGTAGTTTTAACTTACGCTTATCTCGGTTAAGCATGTTAAGCTAGGTTTTGTTATGAAACGAAATGAAAACAATGAAAACAAAAGATTTTCAGTTATGTTTTACACTATTGGATGAATATTAAAAATGTTTACAACATCTGGGTGAGAAGACATACAGGGCGTGCACTGTAACTATCCTGGAGAGCTCCCAGGGGCACCCAACGAGAATATAGTTCAAAAACACTTAAACATAGCATTGTTAAACGTATTTTAGTATTTAAACGGTAGATAAAGGCATATTTTTATTCCCTAAAAATTTTTCATCTGTACGGATTTCCTAGCTGAAAGTCTAGTGATCCGAAAATTATAGGAGTCAAAACTTACCTTTCCGAAAATTTCAGCCAGAAAAAAGGCTCCCGAAAATTCTAGGTGACCTTTTTAGGCTAAAAATCCGTTAAATTTATGCAATTATACCATTTTTTAGATGTTCGAAAATACTAGGAGAGGCAGGCAAGCAAGAAATTTTACAACAAATGTTTCGAAAATTCTAGGTCTCAAATCGTCTTCCGAACAGACTGAGCTCCATACAATTCCTGAGAACAGACTTCTATTCTAAGGAATTGTATGGAGCTCTCCAGCATACTTAGGTGCCGGACGTTGTCACGTATGATCCGTTAGCAAAATGTCATCATTTAAAAAGAAAACCAGAAACGATCGGCAAAAATAAAAGGCCTTTGTTCGTTCGTTCGTCCGTTTGTTTACTACAGGTCAGTTGTGTTTCGATCTGGTCGGGTGAGGGCGCTGACAGAAGGTAATAAATTCTATATACAGCTATTTCGAGAAAGGTTGTCGGAAAAAATGTGCACGCGACAATCCCGAAAGGTAATATGGGATATGATCAATACACTGTTCCTAACGACTGTAGCTGTCAAAACTAATTTTTTTACTTTCCTTTGGCACTCGCAAACATATGTCCGTGGCCTCCCGTGCAATTCTTTCAAATTTCTTTGAAGAACAGGGCACTCAAAACTACCCACAATACCTTTCGGGGTTGTCGCGTGCACTTTTTCCGACAACCTTTCTCGAAATACCTGTATACGTACTTGGGAATGTTGGAGGTGGACAGTTTAAGACGTATAAGATACCATGAAATGAACTGAGGTAATCACACAAAAAAATATGTTTAAGCACATCAGAGAATCCCTCAAGTCCAAGATAGGAACATATTCTCCATTTTAGGCGTCTAAGGAGAAGGATTTATTTCAAGTTCTGTCTAAAGCTTGGCCGCTGACCTTTGCAACAGTTATGGATACAACAGAGAGGACGCGACATTGGAGCCGAGGACAAAACAGACGCGTTTTATTCTTTCTTTGTTGCTGTAGTGCAGGGTGAACTGTGCCTCTGCGGAAGACATAATTATGCAGCGCACTGTGCAGTTAAACATAATCACGTCATGTAAAAACTAAGATTTCTTTTGGGATTCAGTAAAGATTTATTTTCGCTTAGTGGGTTAGATTAGCCTTAATTAATCTTACGTAAATGTTGAAAACAATCGAGTCTTTAGATGTCAGGTAAATGTTACAGCCTTCTTAAGTTATAGCCTCTAGAATTCCCAAAATTGAAAATCACATTCACAAATAGTCGAAACTTGCGACAGGAAATACTGACTGCTGTTTGATGACGTCACGGCAACTATGGTTGAGAAGTTTGTCAAAAGGAATTATCTTTGGTCTGTAGACGCTAATTGCTGTAGCCTTCCAGGCTTTTGTTTTGCGAGGGAGGGTGTAAACAAGAAAACGCATCGACCTGAGAGAGGGCTTGCAAATTAAAGAATTCAAACAGACTTGACTTTTTGACTAGCTGATAAAGGGATTTTTCTTGTGGAATGTTTCATAAGAATTTTTGGGAAGAGGAACCTTTTTTATGAATCTTAAGGTTTTCAAAATGTCTTGGAAATTCATGGGGAATGTCTAGTAACAATAAATATCAGCTGCTTTTTTACATTCGTGGATAAGACGTCGGCCATTTTAAGAGGTTAGCTCAGTTAAGGTGTTGAAATATTCCTCACTACATCTTCTTATTGGATAAAGCTACCGACCTAACGCCTAATATGTCATGTTCTAAGAACAACCATCAATACGTGGGTTGTTGAATTAACAGTTCGTTGTCAGCCTTGAACTATAGCTTCCCGTCACTGTAATGAAGTGACTGGTGGGATGTTGGTACCTTTGCACAATTTGGCTGCCATTACACTGCACAGGAACTCGATAAACTCACAGAGTGTCAGAACGCTGCAGCCAAGGAACAAACCCATGTTACCTCCAATCTCACCTGGGATACAACATGCAACGAAAAGAAAAACGAAAACAAACAAAAAATATCGACAAATTAGTTGGCTAGACCATGATAAACTGGAACTGTCGTTATATGTCTTATATTATCTTTCTAAAGGAACATTCAGCTAAAACGTATTTTCAGGTAGAACCTCATGTGCGCGATGCTTATTTTACTTTACGTTTACCACGAAGGTAAAGGAAGGAAAGGAAAGGAAAATAAAAATTAAAGACAAGGATGTACATACATGGACAAATCTTAATAAAGCATAGAATCTTCAAGGTAAACCTTGTTGAATTCCTTTTCTGGTTTGGTAACAAATAGTTCAGCCTGTTTTTACAGCGTACCTCACCCCATGGCCCCTGTTAAGCTACACATGGCAGTTTCCCCCGCCTCCCCTCCCTGGCTGAATTCCGACAGGTTACTTCATATTTCTATCTCAGTGTTGCAACTTACCAAACATAGCAAAAACGTCGTACACTAACTTCTCCTCCTGCAATTCATAACTTAATGACTTAAAGCCAACTATTAGGTAAACAAAATCCTGGCTAAGAAAACAAAATACACAGTCAGTAGTACAGCAAGGAAATCTGAAGGACATGATTCACCTTTTCCAATTTTTCTTTTTTTTATAACGCCTGCAAAATTCAAATACAAAACCTCAAAGATGTAAAATTTCTTTTTCTTTTCTTTTTTTTAAACGGCAGATACTACACGGACGCATTGTGTAGCTAAAATTTGTTTTACAAACATGGGAGCTTATTTGAGAAGGGGGACTTAATCAATTAACCGAAATAGGGGACCATACTGCTTTTTCAAACAAACAGAAGATGGTATCAATTCTCCATAAAGAACGACGAAATAAAGTGGAAATGCTCAGGGAGATGACGTTAGAGGTCTTGGAGCTAAAGATCCTAACTTCCAGATATGAATAACCCACACTGGATCAGTCCATTTTTTATTAATTTGGTAGTGAAGAACAAGGAGGGAGAGGAGAAGGGGGCTTAATAACGTTCTTCCCCTGATCGAGAGGGGGGCGCTTTTTAAAAAAGGTGAGCTTATTTGGAAGGGGCCTTTATAGAGGAGGTATTACTTTACCTATCCTCGTTGACATTACTGAACCAATTACTAACTGGATCAGACATTGTCTTGTCATGATCAAGGAGTTTGGAGAAAGATATTTCCGCCTTGTATTTTGTCTGATTACAAGAGACTGGACAGTCACATTTCACTGTGTCTACAGAATAATGAAAGAAAGCAGCAATGTTAGAAAAGTACAGTCTCTCACTGAGTAAAAACTTTTGAATGCCTTAGTGCACACACAACACTTGAATGAAACTGTCTCGTTAGTTCGTTAGTAAGAGGCCGCGCGTCGCGCGTTAATGGGTGGATCGGCGTATCACTAAGTGATTGCTGTTTGGTTTAGTTAATCAGTTGACTAAACATTTTATTTAGGTGAAGCTTATTTACAATGTACATGTGTCATAAATGAGTGAAATTGTGGATCAATTATGCTGGTTTAGTCAATCATTATGACCCTCAATTGCCATACCAAAAAACAGAGGAAAATAAATTCTAAACCAACAAATATAACTTTAAAGTTATTTCTCGTCATCAACCTTTAAGACCATGAAGACAATCTGCATGTTTCTGTTGGCAAACTTCAATGCTGGATCCTGAATTAAAAGAAAGCAACAAGTTGGTTAAGTCAGTTTAGTCCTAATTAGTTTTGGCTTAATTTAGTTAGTTTATATTTTAAAAAGAGATTGCAGTAGATAGGGGAGAACGATATGAACGGCTTATTGCAAATGGAATAATCGCTGGAACAGCAAACTCGCCACTGGCAAACTCTGGCCTTTATTAATGTTGTTGTTATTACCATTATTATATTATTATTATCAGTTAAAAATGATGAAACATTTTGAAACACGGTTAACGTATAGAATTATTTAGAATTAGACAAGCCTAAAAGCGGAGCCCTTATAAACATTTCGGCAAACTGGCAATAAACTTTAAATCATCGCTTTTCAGTCATGAATTTTTATTGATTTCCGATCGCGATTTTCAGTGGTTTCCAGCTCTTGAATAACAGTAATGACATCACGTCTGTTGATTCCTTATCCTTTAAAAATATATTTGTGTCAATTTTTAGGTGCGAACTTACAGGTAATTCTCATGATTTTGATAGCCGTGAATTTTTGATTGGACATTCCGCCATTATTTCGATGGTCGATTGTTGCAATGAAAGTGAAAGAGACGTCATGTCTTCGAGAAATTGTTTTTTTTTTAAAAAAAAAAAAAGAGGAAACTTACTAACCACACGGAAATGCGATATGGAATCAGATGATTGAAATTAAAGCTGATTTTAATACTGTTTCCCGTTTATCTATAGCCATACACCTCAATTTTGATCTTGTCAGTTCGCGATTTTCTACCGGAACATAAAACAGTAATAGTGGATCCGGCAAGACCAACCAAAAAAGCAAAACCTGCTCAGGTGAATTAAGGCATGGGTCCTTGTTACTTGCGGGGTTTTATGATTTGATCTTGTTTTATCCAGTATCTTCCTTCTATTTAAACTTAGACCGCTGCATTTAAGACCACAACCACTTTGGACCTTAAACACTACTTTTTACATATCACGTGACCAGCCACGCCCATAATTATGCAAAATTTGGACTCTGCAGACTACACCACTTTAATGAATGTGACCACAATCGTTTTCCCTTCCATAACATTTCATTTGCAGTCAAATAAGCTAAATTAATCGGGGACTTGTGAAATGATCCATTCCTTCGTAATTATTAGATATTTTTCTCTCGTCCCAGTCTCCCTCTTAACAAGAAACGTTATAGTTTACAAAGCGTAGATAATTTAAGAAAACCCCGATTAACTCCATAAACTTTGTGTCGATAGTCGTTGACAAAAAATTAATTAAATTACAAGTGTAATTTATAAAGTGGTGTAAATTTGGATTGAAATAAAAAGTCAAAAATGGGTGTGGCAAGTCACGTGACAAAGATAATACATTCGTAATAATGAAAAATGAATCCTTATGGGAAATATATGTTAAATTTAAAATATTTATGCGAAAGGTAAAATCCCTACTAAAACAGACCACCCCCCTCCAAATTTGCAGTGCCCCATTCCTTAATTCACCGGAGTGTCATTCAACGTATTTTCTTTGACGAACATACACTTATAATGTACCCTGGAAAAGAATTTATATTTTTATCAAAGTAAGAGTGGTAGTTTCAAAAGACACAGGATCGGAACATTTACAACATACAGTAAAACATTAAAAGAAATTGGATGGGGACTGCTGATATATACCAGTGATACCCGCCAGACGACAGCCACAGTATTCCATATAACGTTTAGCGTTACACTCCTCCCGGCAACCGTCTGTAGTATATCGAGAAAAACTTTTCAGTTTCATTGTCTTGCACTTCTTGCCATATCTGTCAAGATGCTCGAACTTTAAATGAAAAAGAAAATCATGACATCATCATCATCATTATCATCATCATCATCGTCATCATCATCAGTAGCGGCGTCATTTATTTCTCTTTACAATTAAAAGCTTGAAAGGTCATCCTCATTGTTCCTTTTTTGCTGAAAGAGAACTTTGATACCATTTTTATAAAGGAGTTGGT